ACTCGCCGGTCACCAGATGGCGATTGTGAGGCAAATTTTCACTTTCAACTTACCTGAGGAAAGCATTGGATCCGCGATTTCATTAGCCGAATGAGCAGAATTATCCTATTATTTAACACCAGTTTTTTTTATTTGGCGTAGAAATCATACGAAATTGAATAATGTAAACGCCAAAATATAAAAATGTGGTGTTAAATAATAGGATAATTCGGATCATTCGGCTAATGTAACGCGGACCCAGTGGAATTCTTACAAGAACTTGAAAAACGCAAAATATTTTTATTTTCAAACTCTAATTTCTTGGCGAATAATTTTTCTACCTCAAGTGTTTTGACATTTTTGGAATCAGTGATACTTATACCACAATAGTACGACCAGTTACCTATGTCAAATTATAAGGTGGCCTTCCCACGTGACAAATTCCGCAAAAATTACAAAGAGCCAGTTGGACATGGATTGAAATATATAATCAATCAACTGTGGTCGTACTATTGTTAAGTATGAATTTATGAAGAGAATGACACCAAGATATCCAAATTTGATAGTCTGTAACCCATAAATTTACAATGTTTGTCAAAAAAAGATTTACACGAAGGCTTATGCACTGTGAGGGTGGACGTAGTTCAAACACAGCGGATAGAGATCACTGAAGCTGTGTCAGATTTCCCCTTAAAATATCAAAAGTCGCATTTTTATTGCTGCGGGAGGGATCTATTTTAAACAAACATTAAATTCAAACTTATTAATACTTTACATTTCCGGAATAATGACTATACAACAAATGTAATTAAGTGTTATCATGCATCATTAGTAATTTATTACAGTGTACAAGTTGCATATTCTTGTCTCAATTACGTGCTCAATCAATACCCACATGCGCCCGACCCGACCTGGCACTTGAATGAATCTGTGAAAATGAGCATGAAAATATTGCGCAAACCGAGAATGAAACGGGAACTTTGTCAGATACCAACCAAAACCTCACCGAATTTGAACCGCAAAGCCTAAAAACTACTAATTAACTTTTCTCTGGAGTACAAATAAGTTTGACAACAAGTCAGGAACTAAAGCAGCTCGCCAAAATCTGTGTTATGTTCAGATGAAAGCTCAAACCAAACCGCAATCCCAATAAATAGTTGCAGAGTGAAAGTTGCTCATTTATTACCAAGTTTTACATATGTAACGGATACATATATTTATGCATTAGTTTGGTGAAATTTATGTACATACACATACAATTTCACGAGTTTTAAGATAATTGCAACTTTTACTACGGAATATACATAAAGTTAATTTTCGGTACTACAAAATCATCGATTTGAATAAAATACAACTTAATTTCGATTTTTTTTGTAATAAATTTTCTCAAAACTGCATTCGCTAATTTGTCCCAATAGTTTTTCAGTACTGAAAATTAACTTTACATTACACTAGGAAATTATTTTCAGTTTAAAACCCCAATAATTTCTGAAATGCTAACAACTTCATGAGTCCTGAGATAAATTCAACTTTTCATACTTGGTAGAAAACTATCGATTTGATAAAAAATGCTAATTTTTACATTTTTATTCACAATAAATTTCCTCAAAAATAAATTCCCTGATTTTTTGAAAAATTTATATATTTCAAATCGAATTCTAAAGCACGAGTAACTCAAATTAGGATACAAATTGAACTGCTGTTACCTTTAAACTCAATGATTTCTAATCAATTTTACAAAATTATACGTTTTAAAAATATTTTATTAAAAATATTTTAAAAATATTTTACTTTATTTATTCACCACATTTTTGTTTACTTGTCCAGCATTTTTTTACAAATTGCATAACGTGTCCCGTAAATAATTTATGAACTTTCCCTCATCCAAATTTATTCATTAAATCATTCCCTCACGGATTGACCAGTAAGAAAAAAACCTTTGAAATTCAAAAAACCTTGACTCGAGCAGAATATCAAAATTCTTGAAAATGCCACATGTACATAAACATGACCCGTACAGCACAGCATTTGACCTTCGATGCTAGTCTTTTTAATAATTCGATCCGCATTACAACTATGCATCCCATTGACATATGAAGAAATGAATACATGTCAAAAACCACGGCTCGCATATCATCAGAGGGCGGATATGTATTCATTTTCTAATTTTTGACTCGATAAGTTATCAATGATAACCACCGACGGTTAAACTTTGTCGGTGTGTTCCTTAACTTTCATAGATCACAAAAATTTCAAAACATTTTTACATATTAGAACATATTTTGGGAATTTTGGGAATTAGAGAATTTTATGACGAATAAATACATAACACATTTTAATTTTCATGCCAAGAGAATAAAAATTGTTGGGTTTGTACGCCCAAAATTTTAAATTATGAACATTAAGTAACCAAATTGAGATAAAAGGTGTAATTGCAGTTTTGAGTTAATAATGAAAAAAATGTGTTTATTTTCGACTTTTTCATTTAATCATGATCGACGGTCAAAATTTTCTGGGTGTGTTCCTTAACCTTTTAAGCTGTAACGACGACAATAGTCGTTTTATAAGAAATGGTTCAATTCGGGAGTACGACAAAAGTCGTCCTGAAAAATCGTGGTCATAGCGCGGAAGGACGACAATTGTCGTTTCTAGGAGGTCATTGATTTTCACCATTTTCTCTCCGCGACCTAAAGTTTGTTGCAATTTTGAGGGATTTCTCCTATGCCAACACAATGCTAAATTTGAAGATTTTCTTCCCGAAAATTTGGATATTTCCCTATACAACGCAATGTTAAATTTTTGATTTTTCAGTTATTCGAGTTTTATTAAAACTCCTGAATTTCTCCTCCCGCGTCATGACCACAACATATTTATAGTGTCCCCGATCGTGGCATTGTATCACGTGTTTTTTGTTTGAATTGTTGTGTCTCAACTTTCCCTTCCTCCATGTATTCAACTGGCGATTTTGAAAAATGTTCACCGCCTTTCGTTTTTAACAATATGAAGATATTAATGCACCTAAAAATCGGTAATTTTTAGGCTTACATAGTTAGGAGATAAAAATTTTGATTTTTTTCTTCAACAAGAAGATAAATATAAAATAGATGAAAAATAATCAATAAAATTTAAATATTTCCTCATTGAAGAAAAAAATCAAAATTTTTATCTCCTAACTAGTAAGCCTAAAAATTACCGATTTTTAGGTGCATTAATATCTTCATATTGTTAAAAACGAAAGGCGGTGAACATTTTTCAAAATCGCCATTTGAATACATGGAGGAAGGGAAAGTTGAGACACAACAATTCAAACAAAAAACCCCGCATCAGCCAGCATGCTATTCCGCCTTAATGCATTTTCTTGTTGTTAATCATACACGTTAAAGGGTTGACTCGAATGGAGCACACAAATTTCGAAATATTCTTACATATTGTCATATATTGTCATATATTTCCTGCTTTTCAAACATATTTATAAATGTTTGCGCTATATACGGAAATCTTTTACACATTTTTTCTTTTTCAAAAGTATACATATATTTTGTAAATATTTAAATTTCGTGACACCACATACGGAATTTTTTTCCTTAAAGAAGTTTGACCACAAAAAATCCAGAGTTCAAAAATTCAAAAGTACACATTTTTTGAAAATTATTATTCTTATAGTTTTTTTCGTACATATTTCGTACATATTTTGACATTTTTTCTAAAGATTGCATATGTTCTCATTTAAATAAAAATGAATAAAATTATTTTCCTCCAAGAAATTCGATCACAAAAAACAATACTAAATAAACTGAAAAATAAAAATTTTTACGAAAATTATTATTTCAACGTTTTTGCTCGAACATATTTACATATTTCGTAAACATTTTGGCGTTGTTTTCCCCTTAAAGATTGCATACATATTTCGTTAATACATATCCGTCCTCTGCTTTATTATCATGATCATACCACGATTTTCCCATAAATCGATGCATAATTCAATTACAAAAATATGACCAAATTTTTTACGGGGCTTCACTCACATGCGTTCGTCGTCGTCGTATCCTCGTTTGCACTGCCATTAATCAGTCACATTTCTACCTGGTCACAGAAGGGCGTTGTCTTCCAGTTGACTAGTGACGACAAGTGAATAATTTACATATTTACATATTTACATATTTCCATTTCCTCTCCAAAATGACGGACCCAATCGAATACACGAAAGTAACTTTGGAACATATTTTGACCGGACTGAAAAACCAGGAGAACATGGAACGAATAAAACCCTCGGAAAGTTTGGAAAAGTAAGTTTCCGTCAAAAAAAAACTAAAAATTCTGCTTGAAACTTACGCCATAACGTTTTAAATAATTTAACTCTGGTGCAAATTACTGTGCAAATTATGTAAATTACGCTGCAAATTATAATTATTATTCATGTTCTAAAAGTCTTATCCTTTCTGATAACCCTTTTAGGGTTCGCGACTGGGTTATCGACAACGCAAAAGATGACCCTTTCATAACCCCCGTCGATAAGAAGGCCAATCCCTGGATGGATTCGGGAAAATGTGTCATTTTTTAATTCTATTTATTCCATCTTTTTTAAACGTTATGCAAATTTTCGAAAAAATTATAATTTTAATTATTACGTAATAAATGAAAAATATTATGAAAACAAATGAAATAATAATTCTCTCACAATTATTTCTTCAAGAAATGAGCATCTACATATATAGATTTTTGAAAAATATTATTGCCTATTTTTAAAGGTTTTTTTTACAGATTTTTGAAATATTATCCTTTTCTAAGGTTTTACATATTGTTTTTAATGTAATGTTTATAGATTTTTGAAAAATTGTTATTTTAACTATTACCTTTGTGAAGTTATACATATTTTTTTCATGTAATGTCTTTAAAGTTACACAAATATAGGTTTTTGAAAAATTAGGATTTTAATTATTAACATAATAAATAGAATATTATCAAAAAACGAAATATTATGTAATATGTAAATCATAATTTATTACAGAAATTAGCTTATACATATTTTTTAATGTAATATTTTTAAAGTTATTTAGATTTTTGGAAAATTATGATTTTAATTATTAACGAGACTTCGTAATAAATCGAATATTATCAAAAAACTAAATAATAATTAATACGTAAATCATAATTAATTAAAGAAATGAACGACCACTGCTAGTACTCGGCGCTGGAGAAGAATTCTGCCCACTCCCGGGTGGCGTCAGGAACGCAAAAGGATTTCCCGGAGAATGTTGTCGAATTCGGGGCGGCGTCATGTACGAAAAGGGGGCCAGGACGACCCTATTCCGGTCCGAGGCGGGTTGTCCATCTCCAAAAAATCGGGCCCGAATCTCTCCTCTCTTTTGTTCATTGGCAATTACAATTTGCCTAAATAGGGACAAAAAATATGTTTTAGATTTGCCAAGTTTTCCATAAATCTAAGATTAATTTCAGTCTTTTCTTCCTTCCAGGTTCCCAACAAAAAAAGCCCTACAAGAAATGCGGCATTTATAAAACCCCCCCCACCCCCACCCAGGGTTCGGAAAAACCCAGGGTTTTATTCAAAAAGTAACGACCCAGGGGTTTTAATGGGTTTTAATGGGTTTTTTGGGTTTTAATGGGTTTTATGGGTTTTATTGGGTTTTATTAGGTTTTACATAAGTAACACATTGAACAATAATTTTCACAACTTTTGCCATCTAATTTCAGTTAATATGCAAATCCACCTTGTCCATGTTAGAATATCAGTATGTATCCGTTTCGAAAGGGTCCTATTTAACTGATCATAGTTTAATACTTTATGAGACCATAATTACATATATTACCTTTTTCTCGCATACTTCCTCTCATCATAATGAAATCCAAGTTGTTTAAAGGTTTTTAAAATTTAATGTTTCAATGCGATCTTAACGTGTATTATCAATTCTGGAAAAAATCGAGTACATGAACAACGAAAGCACAAAGTACGCATGTATTACGATCGAGAATATAATAAGGGCTTTTTACAGATATACTATTTTGCTCATAATAAAGTACTTCGTTGTCCATAAGTACTCGATTTTTCAAGAGGTGATAATTAAGATCGCTTTGAAACATTTAAAAAAACTTTATATCTAAATTTAAAAAATACTATAGTATTTTGTTTAATTTATTCGCTGAGATGAGAGGAAGTTTTCTGGAAAAAGTATTAATTATGATCGCAAAATGTATTAAATTATGTATGATCAGTTAAACATACCTCGTTCCGAAATTAATTTTTTGTATTTTTTGTCACTTGTAGCCTGTAATGGTAAGGGATGTCCCTGATTTATTCCTGGTTGTCAAAACTTACAGTATTAATCAAATAAACTACTTAGCTGCCATGAAACAACTTCGTCTAACGCATGACAGCTGTTTTCAGCTTTTAGAATATAGTTTTAAGCTAAAACACAGTTAAAACCCATTAAAACCCTAATAAAACCCATTAAAACCCAAATAAAACCCATGTAACATGGTAAAACCCGTTGGGTTTTATTCATTAACAACCCATTGGGTTTTATTCATTAACAACCCATTAAAACCCATTAAAACCCAAAAAACCCAACCAAATAAAACCCTGGGTCGGAATACCCTGCCCCCACCCCCATCAAATCCACCCCCACCCCCAGCTGCCTAGCTACCTAGGTTCTATCTAGCCTAGCTTCCTAGGTTCTATCTAGCCTAGCTACCTAGGTTCTATCTAGCCTAGCTACCTAGGTTCTAGCTACCCTAGCTACCTAGGTTCTATCTAGCCTAGCTAGCTAGATTTGCTAACTCAGCCTTCCAGGCTTTCCGCGTACCTAGTTGATCTAACCTAACCTGCTCGCTTCGCTCGCTAATTACGAACGATACCCCAATATGAAATAGAATCTCACTTTGCCCCAAGGTATCTCACGTTGCCCCATAAAAATTGTGGGGGTGGGGGTGGACGAGGGTGGGGGTGGGGGTGGGGTGGGGGTGGGGGTGGGTATGGACGAGGGTGGGGGTGGGGGTGAATGGGGGTGGGGGTGGGGGTGGATGGGGGTGGGGGTGGGGGTGGATTTGATGGGGGTGGGGGTGGATTTAGGTGGGGGTGGGGGTGGATTTGGGTGGGGGTGGGGGTGGTTTAATGCCGCAAGAAATGCGAGGTGCAAGAAACTGCCATGATTGTTGACGATGTGTCAAAGATGATACGATCTCCCAATGGACACATTTGGTACAGATATTTGCATCAAAAGAGGAGAAAACGTGTAGTAAATTTGGAAAGTGTAGAAGTGGTCAACTTTCCGACACGGTTCTCCTCTTCGGATGCAAATATCTCTGCCAAATGTGTCCATTAGGAGATCGTGTCTTTCCCAAAATGGGGTAAAATGGACAAAAAGATCCAAAATTTGTCAGAAATATGTAAAAAAAAAAAAAAAAAGATGATTAGTTTTTATCTCACCTGGAATACGTTTTTCCAAAATGTTGCTGCACGAACTCGTGGCATTTGATGACCCCTCCCGTGAAGGAGGGGTCGTTGTCATACTTGTCGAACAGGTTCTCCACGGGGGCCGGTTCTTCACGGGGACGATTTCCTCTCCTCCTGGACGTGTTCACATTCTTGAATTCGGGCGCGGTCACGTGCGCAAAGGATGACGACACCGGAGGCGTCACCTTTAGCGTCGTAACCTCTAGCGTCCTCTGCTCGCGACGACACTCTGAGGACGACGAACTTGACGAAGGGACAAAGTTGGTAACTTTGTTGTCCCCGTAGATTGTGGACGGTGTCGATGACGGTGACCCCCACGCCCACGGAGTTTCATGTTGGGGGAGCGGCGTCGAAGACCAAAATCCTTTTCGAGACATGACAGACACGGAAAAAAATTGTAGAAATTGTTCGGAATTCGAGATCCTTTCGGGACTGAGGGCACCGTTGAACTGAAATGGTAACTTATCGATTAAGGATAGGCTCAAACTGCTCAAAGAAATCGTGTAAATAAAATGCGATGGATTTTCTTATCTTTAATCAATTTACGTATGTACATATTTCCCTTCTCGCCGTCCACGCACGCACGCACATTCTTTTCCTCTCTCTCTGTCTCTTATCCGATGTCTTCTTTTCAATAACGATATGCAAATTAATGCTGGGAAATCCGAGATCCTTTCCGTACCCACTGAAATAAAATTAATTATAATCTCCTCCAAAACATTCTAGGATTCTATTTTTTCTGCTTTCATCTTACATATTTCATAATTTAAGATTAAGAAAACTGCAAGATTTCGAAACCGAATAAAAATTTTTTCAATTTTTTCAGAAACTTTTATGAACCTCTGAATTTCGTACGAAATTTTCATGCGGGTAATGATGATTACCACGAGAATAAATCGATAAGATAAAAAAAATCATGTACATAAAATACGACAAATTTATTTATTTATAATTATTTTCGAATTATTACGAATCTTATTTGTTGTGATGATAAAACTAATAATTCAATAATATATTAATCTCGCTAGAGATGAGTTGAATTGCCTAATTTGCATATCTCTGATAAGAACAAATCCTCTCACGCGTATGAAGAAAGAATAAATCGAATAAAAGAGAAAGGAAATGAGTGTGCATATGTAAATTGAGTAAAAATAAGCTAATTTACATATGTACATACATTCCTTTCTCTCGATTTATTTCTTCTCGCACGCATGAAGGTATCTTCTTATCATGATATGCAAATTAGGCAATTTCACTCATCTCTAGTGAGATCAATATGATATTGAATTAAAGTTTTATTATCACAATAAAAAAAACATTTCTTAATAATTCATCCCCTATATAAATTAATCTTTCGCATTTTATTTACAAGATTTCCACCTTATCGATTTATTCTTATCGGAATATCATTTCAACGGAGAAGATCTCAAATTCCGAGCTATAATTTGCATATTATTATTATTGATAAGCAGAAATCAGATAAGAGAGAGAGAGAGAGACGATTTTGGAAAGGTTTATTGTTACTGGCACCATTTCATTTTACCTTCGTTTTTACAATTAACAAATTTGACATAATTAAATAATTTTTTATTTTAATATTAAAAAATTTGACAGAATTTTTATTCGGTCTCGAAATCTCAGTTTTTTTCAATTATAAAAGATGAAAACAAAAATAAAATCCTTAAATTTTTTGGAGGAGAGTATAATTTCATTTTATTCATTTCGTAATTCCGAGCATTAATTTGCATATTATTATAATTGATAAGAAGAAATCAGATAAGAGAGAGAGAGAGAGAGGAAAGTAAGCAATGTGCGCCCGGGCGCACGCCATGTATCGAAGACTGGAAATAAACATGTAAATTTTATACCGATAAGAAAATCCGTCTCATTATATTCAACTTATTCTTCATCGATAAGCTGTTCTCAAACTTTTTCACTTCAAGGGTACGGAAAGGATCTCGAATTCCGAGCTCTAATTTGCATATCATTATTTATAAGAGAATAAAGAGAGAGGAAAGCAAGAGAGTGCGTACCACTGCACGCCCACGCTACAAATGTATCGAAGAATGGAAATATGTAAATTTAATACTGATAAGAAAATATCGTATAAATAACACGCGTTTCTTCTTGAGCTTATCCTGAATCGAAGTTATCATTTCAGTTCAACGTTGTCCTCCGTAGCGAAAGGACCTCGAATTCTGAACAATTTCTACAAATTTATTCCCCCCTCTCTTTCCGCTATGTCTGGAGCACACCGTCGCCCAAATGTGGGCTATTCCACCCCCTCACCCCCTTTAAACCCCGTCCGAGTGGGGCTTTACCCGACCCGTCTCCACCACTTCGGGGGGGTCGGATAAGTCGGAGAATACCCGGACATCGCAAGCCCCGTCATCAATTTATGGGCGAAATCAAAACTACTTTGTTCCTACTTCGGGGTCGTCGACACAGTACCGTCGCGACCCATTCTCTGCGAGAGTTCCGACCCCTTCGTCGTCATATTCAAGCCGGTACGTGACCGCCCCCGCGCCCTCGTCGTCATCATTTTCGTCTTCCAGCCATCACCACGTGACCACCACGTGTGAGTCCGTCGGGGGAAAAGGTGGGTTCAAGAATGTGGAGATGCGCAGGAGGAGAGGAAATCATCCCCGTGGAGAACCGGCCCCCGTGGAGAATCTCTTCGACAAGTATGACAACGACCCATCCTTCACGGGAGGGGTTATCAAATGCCACGAGTTCGTCCAAACCCACTTTGGAAAAAAGTATCCCAGGTGAGAAACTAAGCATTTTTTTTTAGATATTATGAAAAAATGTGGATTTTTGTGACCAATGCCAATTTTGCGAGACACGATCTCCAAATGGGCACGTTGGGCGCAGATATTTGCATCCAAAGAGGAGAAAAAGGTGTCTTTAAGCCGACTAATTTTAAACTTTCCAAATTAATTGACTTTTTCTCCTCTTTGGGTGCAAATTTCTACGCCAAACGTGTGCATTTTGACATCGTGTCATCTTTGAGACATGGTCAACAATCATGGCACACATTTAGCAATGGACATCTCTCCGATTTTGAGCAAATTAGTGTGAATCGATATAATTAGTATGAAATTTGCGAAATACACGATCTCCGAATGGGCACGTTTAGCCGAGATATTTGCATCCGAAGAGGAGAAAATGCGTCTTAAAATCGACAAATTTTAAACTTTCCTCATTTACTGGGCGTTATCTCCTCTTTGGGTGCAAATTTCTACGCCAAACGTGCCCATTGGGAGATCGTGTCTTTCGCAAATTTCATCCTAATTAAATCTGTGCTCGATTGAAACTAATTTCCTCAAAATCGGAGAGCATATTTACGCTGCGAGATCTTCATCGTGTAAAATTTTGGATGTTTTGCAACTTTTAAATACAATGCCCCATTTTCGTACATGACGCCGCCTCGGATTCGTCCCCATTCTCCGTGGGAGAGAAATCCTTTCGCGTTCTTGACACCGCCCGGACGTGGGAACGAGTCTTCTCCAGTGTCCACGATTGGACACCATTCTCCGGCGCCCAACAGTGGAAGGGGATGCTCATTTCTTTAATAAATAATTATGAGAGAATTATTGCTCCGTTATTTTCAGAAATATTCAATTTATTATGTACTAATTAAAACCACGATTTTTGAAAAATCTGCAGAACTAACTTTCAAAATAGATAATAGCTTTAAAAGAAGATATAATTTATCACAAAATGCTCATTTCTGTAATAAATAATTGTGAGAGAATTATTATTCAATTATTTTCAGAAATATTCAATTTACTACATACGTAATAATTAAAATCACAATTTTTCAAAAATCTGTATTACTTTAAAAATACATAATTTAATAAAATGTTCATAATTTTAAAAATAGATCATTTTCAAAATCTACATAACTTTAACAGGGGACACAATTTTTCAAAAATATGTACAACTTTAAGTTAATTTATCAAATATCTGTCCTTTAAAAATAGATGATTTAAAAAAATCTACATATGTAATTTTTTAAATAGACAATTTCCAAAAATACTGTATAATAACTTTAAAAATATATAGTTTTACAAAATCCGTCCAACTTCAAAAAGAAGGCATATTTTCTAAAAATTTTGTATAATTTTAAAAAAAGTATAATTTCTCGAAAATCTTTATCAACTGTAAATTTATCAAAAATCTGTACAATTTTTTTTAAAAGGTGGAATAAATAAAAATTAAGAAATGACACATTTTCCCGAATCCATCCACTGATTAGACTTTGTCAAATGTGCATCTATTCGGTCTCGAACACTACAAGATTTCCGAGCAGATAAGATTTTTGATCTGTGCTCATATGTACCTACGAATTTGCACCGTACTTGAATTATTGATTAATATAAATATTTGTGGAGTTGAATAACAGCAGTTTTTAAATACTTTGAATCAGCATTGTGCATGTTCATCGTAATTTTTAATGAATCTGTATTTTTAAAAATTCATGGTTTTGAAATATTTTGCATTATCACTTTTGCATTTTGCATGCTATTTTTTTATGAATTTAGAGCTAAAAAAATACATAGTTTTGAAATACTTAGAATTAGCATTTTACATTTTGCATGCAAATTTTTAACAAATTTTTACCCTACAAAATTCGGAGCCATCACGGATAACGCAAAAATGCTTAAAAATCTGCTTTTATCCAACCCCACACAAATATTTTGGCAAGGATGAATAATCAACTTTGATTACAACACAATGCACAATTCTTTAAATAAAAATTTTAATTATGTAAAAAATTAACCTCGACCCGAGAACAATGCATAATTTCGCCAATTCCACTCTCCTCTCAAAGTGAACAATTGCTTAAAATATTTGCATATTTATTGTTGACATTTTCTCGCTGCTTCGACGACCATGACGCCAATGGCACTTTCCTTTTTTGCATATTATCGAACGCATTTACATATTCGCATCACTCCATTTCGTTTCATTGAATTATTCCCTTCGCGTTTTACACACGTCGTCAGCCTTGTTATGTAAAATAGTTAAATAACAATTACTTAATTGCGCTTTGTTTGATCGTCGTCACCTCGTCACCAAAACGTTCGGAACGGTGGAGCAGAGTCACGTCAGCTTTCCTTCGAAGACTAATCCGTGGCGTTACTTAATCTCGATTTTTCACACGATGAAGGCCTCCCTCTTCGGCGTGTGTCTCATCATGACCTTCTTCCTCGTCGCCACGGTGAGTTACGTCATGTCGTCATACGTGACGATTTCGGGTCTAACTGTGACCCGATTCGGGGCCAAATATTTACGTAACGCTACGTCACGAATTACAGGATATTGAATTCGGGGGGACATTTTGATGAAAATTCGCAAGGGATATTTGCAAAGATGAATTAGCGTCAAAATGTCCCCCGATTCGTGGCTAATTTACATACGCCACGAATCAGAAGATATTTGCATGCATGAATAAATTTAGAGGAGAATTTGCACAAAAAATTGGCAAAATGACCATTTGTGATCACAATTTCTTTATCCTCACTGTTTTCTTTGTCCCCAATAGAAAGCTGACCCAGATCCAGACCCGGACCCACTTCCGGCCCCACTCCCACTCCCAGAACCCCTCCCCGAACCACTCCCACTCCCCCTCCCCCACCCAATTCCTGGCGACAAGAATCCCTACGCTGGTAAGGTGAGCCCTCAAACAACTTATTGCTCCTTCACGTACGGTTCGATGACTCTTCATCCCCAAAATCACCTCACATTTTCAATCGTTTCTCTCCTCTGGGGATTTATTTTAGAATTCTGAACCACAAATTTGTAGCTTAGGTCGTTCCCAATTTTAAAAAAATACATACTCCAAATTTTGGCACTTTTTAAAAGAGGAGATCTCAAGTTTAAGAATCCTTCAGAAAAATTGGGACTCGTCAAAATCTCCATTAATCTCCTCACTTACTACAAATCAGAATTTTAAAATAAGTTCCCGAACCAAAGAAATTTTTTAAAATGCTAATTTTTCGTGATGAGTCACCCAGTTCTACCTTAATGTCAAAATTTTCTAAACCTTTCCCCCCATTTTTTTAAGGTCACTCGGAAGCCCAAATCGATCAAGGGCAAGGGCGCCTCTCACCCTAAACCGAAAGGAAAAGGTGTCCAGAAACCCAAGGGGGGTAAATCTGTCCACAAACCCAAGGGGGGTAAAAGCGCGCATAAACCTAAAGGCGGGAAAAGTGTGCACAAACCGAAAGGGGGCAAAAGCGCGGGGAAAAAGCCAAAGCCTGGAGAAGGTCGCGGAATGGCGCGCCCAAAAGCGACGCGAAAACCGGGCGGTCGTTCCATGCCAAAAGCAAACAAAGCTAAAGGAAAAGCCTAATTTTATTAATATTTCATCAATAAATCAAAATAAAATTTAAATAAAATCAAAATTTGGTACAAAAAAATGGGGATCAAAATTTTATATTTATTCGAATCGAAAAAAATCAAAAAAAATGTCTTACATAATTTTTGAAATGTAAATAAATAAATGCTAAATTTGTAACAAAAAATCAATGTTGTATTCCATAATTGGATTATTATTCGACTCGAAAAAATCCATAATTTCCTAAAAATGTAAATAATTAATATATAAATATTTTATACTTTATTTCACTGAAAAAAAAACAACTTCACAATTTGTAACTTATGAAATGAATAAATATGAATAAATTCATAAATAATGGATTGATAGAAATGTGAAAAAATATGTAATTTTCAAAATTCAGAAACAGCACGCTAACTGATGTCCATGAATGCGGATTCGGTAGTGCCGTTTTTTATTGAGATTATTCACCTCGTGTAAAATTTTCACTTTAATGACGGGATATTGCGTCGTCGTGAAATTCTAAAATTAAATAAATCACACACATTTACATATTACTTAACAAAATTAAATGCATATTTGCATATGAAGGACGCCATAAATCGTCGTCAAAATCATTAAAAATCCCCACATTTTCAATCATTCCTCTCCTCTGGAAATTTATTTTAAAATTCTGAACCACAAATTTGTAGAGCAGATCGTCCCCAATTTTTAAAAAATGTACCCTCCAAATTTTTCTACTTTTTGAATGAGGAGATCTCAAGTTGAAGAAGCCTTCAGAAAAATTGGAACTCATCGAAACTGGGTTAAAAAAACTTATCCATTCCATTAATAATCAACTCTCTTCCTACAAATTCGTCGTTCAGAAATTTAAAATAAGTTCCCAGAGGCGATTAATGATTAAAAATGTGCTAATTTGAACAATTTTGGGGATAGGTCATCCAGTCCTACGTTAATAATTTACGAATTAAAATTACCATAACTTTGAAGTACTGCATATCCTCATCGACATCATCTTCATACTCGTACGTCCCATAATCATGGACGCCGTCCGCCGCGTCAGCCACGTTTTGTCCCTTAAAAAATGTTGCAATTATTAAATAATACTACAGGCAAATTTGCATATTTTTCTGCCCAGAACACACCTGTTCACTTTCATTCATGTGATTATGATAGTGAATGAAAATGAATTTCCTGCGATTTGAATGAAAATGATTGAAAGATTCCGTCATTTCGGATGAGTGACTGTGAATGAATGGATTTCTCACTCATTTCATTTTTCACCCTATGCTTCATACATGGGGCGAAGGAAGAAATGAAGCCGGTTGAAGTGAAATGAAATGAATTTGAAAGGGAATGACTAAACGTGAATGAAAATTTTCAGTCAGAAATCGGGATGGCTGACTTTTGAATGAAAACTGAATTTTTGAACAGGTATGGCCCAGAAAGCGTACAAAGTCTTGCACAAGTAATAAAATGTGCATGATTTTTTATAGAAAACGTGTCAGACAAAAATTTTTCTCCAAAGTTAGAAAATTTTATGGACACGTTTTCCAAAGAAAAATTCGTATAAATAAATGCGTACTAACCAAGACTTGAAATTTGAACGACGCCTCGTCACCCTGTTGACCCTGGTAGCTTAATCCCCCTCCAAAATCCGGTAAATTCACCACTTTTTTCCCTACTTGAACTGTGAATCCGGTCAGGATGAAGGGTGATAAGAGACTTATCGTGACCTCTCCGGCCACACTGAACCCTTCATACCCCCAGCACACCCCAGGAACAAGGGCAACCTGAAGAAATTAAGGCGTCACTCACTCACCAGACAGAATTAATTTAACATTTTTAGCCATTTCTCGCCTCTGGGAACTTATTTTAAAATTCTGGACGACAAATTTGAGTTGATTAATGGAATAGTGATGAGATTTTTAGGCCAGTTTCGATGAATGTTTTTGAAATATTCTTAAACTTGAGATCTCCTCTGTCAAAAAGTGGAAAAATTTGGAATGTATATTTCTAAAAAATGGGGAACTACCTCCTCCTTTACAAATTTGTCGTGCAAAATTTTAAATAAAATTCCCAGAGCGGAGAAATGATTAAAAAGTGTATTGATTTTAACTATTTTTAACATGAGTCGTCGAGTAGTACTTTAAATTTTCAGAATTTTAATAACTCACCTGAATCACATTAAAATTCCCATCGTACATTTTCACCTTCGTTAACCCACGCATGAAATCTTCTTCCCACTCCCGGTATGAAATTTCGTCCAGAACAGACTAAAATAAAATCACAAATTAAAAAAAATAATTTATATCAAAAAAAGCACACCCAACTTGCGCCATAGTTAAAATAAAGCCAATTTGCGCCCTAGTTAAAATAATACCCAATTTTCACCATAGTTAAAATAATACCCAATTTGCGCCCTAGTTAAAATACACCACAATTTGCGCCCTAGTTAAAATACACCACAATTTGCGCCCTAGTTAAAAAAACTACAATAAAAATATTCCCACAAGCCACAAATATTCATAACCAGCTCACCTTTCCTGTTTCATCCCGACTTCCATGATTTGTAACCCAAAGAAAAAACACCACAAAAATTCCGACCACCAACCAGGCTCCGAAAACGCCCAGGATTAATTTCATAATGGGTTTCATTTTTAAAAAAAAAAATGTAAACTTTTAAACCACTCCGTAAAATAATAATTTCTCTGCTGCTCAGCACTTTACTAAATTCGAGGAGGAATGAAAAATGAAACGACGGGGGAATTGTCATTATTTTCATGGAATTTAATACAAAATAGGACGCCAACCAGGTATTTCATACATCCCATTTTTCACCAGATAGCATTTATGTATTTCTTAATATGAAAACAAAGAATTTCATGCATTCATCCATTCCATGCCGTGATTTTCTATCTTATCAGCGTCACTCAATCACGAACGACCAAACCAAATCAATGTCACCAATTCAATCATGTCTAAATATTTGGTACGTAAATACATATGTATGCATATACATTGGCCGCGGAATGGTGCGGGTGGGATAATTTCCTCACGGTTATTCGATATCCGCATCATTTATATACCCGTCATTCCTACAATGTCAATGTCCCCAGATGTCCCCACGGCTTCCGCGGTCACTGTGTATGTATGCATGTATATATACTCTCCATGAAAAAGTATTGGCTGCATAAAAGTACAGAAATCATGCGTCTCAATCATATCTATTTGTACATAGTTCAGTCCAGTTTAATATAATTTTAACCAGGATACGACACATTTTAGGGTATATATATTTGTACATTTAAGATATGATGACACCCATGTATACAGCCGAGTCGAGATAAAAGTCCAATGTTGCATAGCTTCTGTCTGGCAGCGCAAAGGATAAAAAACAACCCGAGTTTTACTACCAGACCGGTTCCAGAGCTTAATAAAAAGCACACATTTCCAGCTTTATTCCGGCTGATTCTCTATCTAAAGAAAATTCCACGGCAATTTTAACTTACCTGCATAATAACAAACCGATAAGCTAACCACCAGGAGCAGAATACCAGTCAAATTCTTAATTGAAAGCATGTCTTCCGGAGGAAAAGTGAAGGTGAGTCTTTTAACCAGAAAGTTTGTAGGCTAGAAAATACATCATTCACATGTGTGCATAAGTACGAGCAGCAGGTATTTTATACACCACAAGACCAAGGACATGCATTTCACTCCACGTGCTGCCGTATAAGTGTCATGTCAGGAGGAGGAATGATGTTACCCGAATGTTTCCGGGTATTTCTTCTTCTAATTAGTTGGGAACAATTTCTAATAGGAAAAATTCAGAAAAATACGATTTTTTTATATAAAGTTTTTATTAAGAAATTGAATGTAAAATCATGCCGTTGATCGTCGTATCATGTAATTTCCGGTTTCTTGTAATTAATTGGGAACACGATAAAAGAGTATAATTTTGCATAAATTTTTCACATTATCATACTACACATTAGCATATTTTTTTGTAGAATTGTATGCAAATTAGCGGATATTTTTGGTCTTATGATTTATCAATTTTCAAATTTTTATCATGTAACATCATCCCGTCGATAGGAGTATATTCGTATTTTACGTATATTTTTACACTTCATCAGATGAAGTTGAGGAGAATGCTAAAAAATAAAATAATGACATTTCTAATTTTATCAGGAAATTTCCTACGTATTGTGATTTACATACATTTTTGCAAAATTTTATGCATGTAAATATGGACCGGCATATTTTTGGTTATCGTGGTCAAATAATTTCTCAATTTTCAAATTTTTACCAAGAAATTGCACCTATTTTTATGTAAAATCATGCCGTCAATGCAAATATTTTCGTATTTTACGTATATTTCTACACTTTATCAGATAACTGATGACGATTAGCTCGATGAAAGTTACGTAAAATAATGACGTTCAACAAACTTTTACATTTTGTAGTAAGAAAATTGTGTGAATTTTTCGTTCAACATGCAAATTTTTATTTCAGCGTGCAAATTTTTGCAACAATTTTGGACCAGCAATACTCAAATGCATATTAAATAATTTCTCAATTTTCAAATTTTTACCAGGAAATTGTACCCAATTTTATGTAAAATCATGCCGCCGATGACATTAATTTTGTATTTTACGAATATTTCTATATATTATTTTTATAAAAAGATGATGAAAATTGTGTGCGATTAATATGCAAATTTTTGCAAAAAGTTTTATGCATAAATCGGCAGCACTAGAATATGAATATTTTTAGTCAAATAATTTCCCAATTTTAAATTTTTTACCAGGAAATTGTACAATTTTGTGTAAAATCATGCCATTGTTAAGTATACGCATAATTTTTATGACATTGCCAAAACAATTCCTCTCTTTAAACAAAGGTTTATGATTTTATCCATTCTTTTATTTGATTTTATTATTCAACAATTTATTACTGAATTGACGCCCAAAAAAGATCAATTCCTACCAACTAATCATTGCATGATACATAAGTCTAGCTAACTATGTATTTTTATGTATGTATACTTTTTTACTAATACTACTTGTTCGTATAAAGTTCACACTTTTTATTAACCTTAACAACTTAAGTGATTGATTGAGGTTATCTTTTCTTATCCCGTTAGTTATCTTAACAATTAATAGTACGTCACACACCACCGATACGTTTTTTTTCGTCTTGGTACAAAAAATTGATGTGATGTGGTTGGTTTTTGATTTTGGCAGGGATGATCAAAATACTGAGGAAAAAAATGTACAGTATTTTGAGCTAGTTTCTTCCCAGGGTTTGGATTTCTGGGTGTGTTACACCCACAAAAAGAGGAAAATCCACGTGGAGAAGGCAACAATCAGTCGAAAATACATGGTTTCTGAAGAAATTAAGTTTTTATCGGTGTCAAAATACTGTATTTTCACGATTTTTCTAAAAATTAAGTATGTTGACACTAATGCAAAGTTAATTTCTAAAAAAAACTTGAATTTCCGACCGGTTGTTGTCCTCTCCAACTTGAAAAATTTCCGAGCCTGTTACACCCACAAAAAAAGACCAAAATCTGCTTAGAGCTGACAGAAGTCACAAGAAAATACGAGTTTTTTAAAGAAATTTTTTAAAGAAATTAACTTTTGATCGCGGTCAAAATACTCTATTTTTTTAGAAAATCGTGAAAAAATGTATTTTCAGCCATAAAAAGTTAATTTCTTCCCAAAACCTCTATTTTCTTATCACTGTTGCCTCCTCCACGTGCAGTCTGGTTCAAGTGCCGGGGGATTGGAACTTAGTACCTGGGTAACGTCACCCAAAAGTTCCGATTCCCTGGACTTTTTAGTTATGCAAGTTACAGGGAAATTGAACCCACTTGTCGCAGGGTTTAGCGGGCCTCGATTCCCCGGTACCCTCTTACGCAAAAGTTACGATTCCCCGGGACCCAACATTTTTCTTCCATTTTTCATAAATTGGATAAATTTCCGCAGAAAATTTGAGTTATCTCAAATTAACCTCCCACAAATGTAGAATATTGGATAAAAAAAATTAGAATTATTTATAGTGGCGAAGTTTTATAAATCGCAAATATCTGACAAATTTGAGGAGCGGCAAGCTCAAAAAGGTACGGGGAATCGTCACCCAACAATTATTTTCTGGGAAAAATACAGTTATTTTGCAGTTATTGTTACAATTATTACGTTATTATTATGTTACAATGATTTTCCCTTAAAAATAATTGTATTTTTCCCAGAAAATAATTGTTCGTTGACGATTCCCCGTACCTTTTTGAGCTTGCCGCTCCTCAAATTTGTCAGATATTTGCGATTTATAAAACTTCGCCACTATAAAAAATTCTAATTTTTTTATCCAATATTCTACATTTGTGGGAGGTTAATTTGAGATAACTCAAATTTTCTGCGGAAATTTATCCAATTTATGAAAAATGGAAGAAAAATGTTGGGTTCCGGGGAATCGTAACTTTTGCGTAAGAGGGTACCGGGGAATCGAGGCCCGCTAAATCCTGCGACAAGTGGGTTCCGTTTCCCTGTAACTTGCATAACTAAAAAGTCCAGGGAATCGGAACTTTTGGGTGACGTTTCCCAGGTACTAAGTTTCAATCCCCCGGCACTTGAACCAGACTGACGTGGATTTTCCCCTTTTTATAGGTGTTCCACCCCCTGCCAAAAACCCTGCTCAAAATACATCTAAATACTCTACATTTTTCCCTAGTATTTCATCCACCCCTATTTTTTTGGCTTTCTTACTTTTTTCTACATAAAAATGTAACACAACTTAAAACATAATGTAGCACAGTCAACAATATCATTACAGATAAATTAGCACGTCACGAATTATAGATATTTACATACAACGAAACAACACTACTGAACACACGGTCGTAGATAGATACAAATTAGCAAAAAATATTACACCCTAGAAAATCTTGGGTCAGTTTCTTTCGGTGTTCTTTTTCTTCTTCTAAGGCCAACAATTTGGTAACTTTCTTCTATTTTTTTCTAAAATCTAGTACAAGTCAAAATGTGCATCAGTTAGGTAGGTAAGGTATTCATTAAATAATGACATCGTAAAAGCTAACAAATTATTTATGTGATGAGCTTAAGAAAATATTTCTCTCTTTAACTTTAAATGATTGAAAATTAAGAAAAGTAAATAATTAACTAATTAATTAATTAATTAATTAACATGCTTGTTTCACAACTCGGTAAACAACTACTGGCCAAATAATAGATTTACTTACGTGGTTGGTTAATTAATTAATTAATGATACATATTTTAAATTGTCCATGTTTTCATGTGATGGTTCTGGTAAAAAAGTAACAACCTCGGTAATTTTAATTAATTAAATTAATTGATTAATTAACTAATTATGTAATTAATACATAAAATAAATACGAAAAAATAGACAAAAAAAGACAAACTCACTCAGAAATCAGTGTAATTATGTCATGTTACAAGTATTTTAAACATGTTAAAAGGCTCATTTTTACAAAAATTTAAATTTCTATCGAAATCTTCCTATTTTCTAACTGCATACTGATTTATCACGTGAAAAAGTTCTCTCTACTAAACAGAAGAGACAGCTAATTACATAGTTATTTATGGCTACAACAAGTTTTTTAGTACAATTGCAAGAATTATTTTTACCCTAAAAAGTAGAAGAATTTTAGTATCAAAAACCTCACTAATTTGCTGTTTTTTCTTCATTTCTTCTTATTAAGTCACAAGTCACAACGAATATTCGATGTGGTTTTGGTTGGTTGGTTAATTAATAGTACGGTAAGAACATTGGTGGCGGAAGGGGGGGGAACAGGGGGCATTGTCCCCCCAGAAATTCAATTAATGTCCCCACATGTCCCCCCAACCTTCCTCCCCCACTGCTTAAGAAATTCCCCCCTTCTCCAGTCTGTAACCCTCCCCCCCTCAAAAAAACAAGTTATTTGTTGCATAGATAGTTTTTATAGGATTCATCAAAAAAAAATGGCGTCGATAATAATGAACTTCTATTTTTACGATAAGACAGCCTGTTGCAATTTTCTGATTGTGGAAGAGTTCAATTTGCATAAATCAAAGTCAAACGTGATGCCAGTCTCCATTGTGAAATAGTCTTTTCCCGAGGACTCCACGATATCCACGATTTGCTGGAGTTTATTGGGGTCTTCGTTGATGAGGGCGGAAATCCGGGTGTGGAGATCTTTCAGTAGTTTCATTTCCGCCGTTATGCTCCCCGCAACGCCGGCATGACTGAGGCCAAAGTTCCCCCCGCCGTTATTCCCCCTCCCCCACTCCCGCCACCCTCATTTCCATTAAAGGTCGCATGACTATTGTGGTGGTGGTGATGGTTCGAATTGGAAACGCCGTTCTCCTCGCTGCCACTGATGTACGATGCGGGCGAATCCGAATCCGTCTGCATGCCGACGCCCAAACTGTCGTCATTTTCATCGCCGTGGTGGTGGTTATCGTGGTCGTTATCGATGTCGTCATCATCATCCTCCGAATCCGGGTCGGGATCTTCTTCCTCTGAATCGTCCGGTTCCCGTTTCACTAAATCGTGCTGCATCATTTCACGGTCGTTGTTGTGATGGTGCGATCGAGAATGTTTGGAGGAAGAGGAGGATCGACTTGTCGACGAGGTCGGCGCCAGAGATGACGAACTTCTCCCCCCGTCCCCAGAAGATTTCCCCCCTTTTGATGACGATGATCGCGACGAACCCGACTTTTTACCCGCATCCGCCGGCGCCGTTATTACTACGGAGGAGGAATTGCTATGTTTCTTGTATGACATTTTACTCGGTGGTGGCGTACCCGGGTCCGGGCTTATCGCGGAAGACACTTCTTCACTACTCATCACTTTCGACGAAGACGACATTTTACTGCTTCCCCCCTTTTCTGAGATCTTTTTCGACTTTTTCGCCTCCTTGTAGTCCTTACTGCTGGAAATGAGGGGGGCAGACTTGTCCCCCTTATTATTTTTCGAGGAGGGTGGACTCCCCGACTCGCTCGATGACTCGCCCCCCTTCCGCTTTCTTGAACTACTCATGGGCACATCCACACTCGTATTGCTTAACGACGATGATGACGACGTGGCCGGGGACGAAATGGACGTAGGACTTTGACTCCGCGACCGTTTCCGTTTTCTCGATGTCGACACGCCATTTCCGTTTCGACTGGAGGGCGACTTTTTCCCCCCGGAGCCACTGCCCCCGCCCGGAGTGGGGACATGATCCACCGATCCGATCGAATCCTCGTCCGAATTCATGGCACTTGCTGACGGGGACGAAGACCGTGACGTGCTTCCCCCAGAGGACGAGCTGCTTGACGAAATAGGACTTAACACTTGCTGCTTATCTCCTCCAGAACTACTTCGCGACGAGGGGCGTGGGTTATCTTTGTCGGATTTCTTATGTGAAGAAGACGAATTGGAGTAAAGGCTGATCCGTTCCGTGTCGTATTTCGATTTGGATTTTGAGGACTTATCAGACTTTGACGAGGACGACTTATTCGTCGTTGGTGTCGACGAGCTTATCGGTGGACTTGGGTTGCTGTTACTGTTCTCGGAAAATATTATGGAGGAACTCGACTGCTGCTTCACTTTATTCTTCGGAACGGACGTATTGCTCGGAGGTAGCATGTTTTTCGACCCGCTTTTCTCCTTCTTTTTACCCGAATCGGATTTATTTTTGGAGGACGACCCCGATTTTGAGGAGGAGGAGGACGACGTGGCACTCACGGTATCAGGCGGCGTTAGTGGCGATTTACTCGAACTTTTCGATGACGAGGAGGACGACGAAGAAGACAACTTATCGTGCTTACTGCTCCCACTTTTCTCCTTATCTTTGTCCTTTTCACTTATCGACGACGACGATTTACTATCCTTCTCTTTAAAACTGGAGGAATTCACTTTACTACTCGAAGAAGAATTCGCTGCTGACGACGACGACACGGACGTGGACGAGGTCGGCGGTGGAATCACGACGGGAGCGGATTGACGCTTGATCGGTGTCCCGAATAAGTTCTCGAATGAATTTTTTGGCGAGGATTTCGCCGCCGTGGCGGCCGCGGCAGGTTTGGATTTTCCTCCTCCCGAGTGATGATTGCTGTTGGGGCCGCCCGTGGCGGAAGTGTGGCTGGAAATGGAACCCTTTTCGGAAGAATGACTCGATTTCTCTAAAACTTTTCCGCCTCCTTTGATCAATTTTTTGGTGAATTCTTCACTCGGATAGTTGAAAATTAGTTTTTCCTTGCGTGATGGAGATATTGCGGGTCCGCCCGATTGGAGGAAGAGGTCGTAACTGAACTCGGCTTTTTTAGGGTCATCCTTGTTCTTGAAAAGAATCTGGGAAAGGAACAAATTACGGGAAATTAGTTGTAATTTTGGGAAATGCAAATTAACCAGAAAAATTAGGTCAGACACTAATTGCTTGCACTATAATTAGTAGTTACCTCTATATTAACGATGAATCCTGCATATCCGGATTCCTTGACGCAATATGGAGGCTCTTTTACCACTAAAAAAAGACACAATACAAATTCAGTTTTTAAATGGGATCGTGGTCATTCTTTTAACGAAGGACGCATCACCAGAACGAACCCATTTTTCATCATTTCTCCCCTCTGGAAACTTATTTCAAAATTCTGGACGACAAATTTGTAGTCAGTGAGTTGATTAATGGTTTGACGCTAAGTTTTTAAGCTAGTTTCGACGAGTCCCAATGTTTCTGAAGGCTTCTTAAACTTGAGATCTCCTCTTTCAAAAAGTGTCAAAATCTGGAGTGTATATTTCTTTTAAAAAAATTGGCAACTCCCTCCTCTACAAATTTGTTGTCCAGAGTTTTAAAATAAATTCCCAAAGCCCAGAAATGATTAAAAATGTCCTCATTTTGACCATGACTCCTAAACACATTAAGTATCATTATTTAAGTATTGTTCCATTAGTGTTTTTCATACCTCTCCTCGGTTTAGGAAAGCTATCGTGCAATGTGAATATTACTCTGTCCACGAACGACTGGATATTATTGCCTTGATCTCCTTTTACGTATACTTCCCAGTCGTGGCTGTAGCCTTCGATCGTTGGCTTTTCTCGTAATGCGGCCCGATGACCGAGAATTAGTTCCACCAGCACTTTCTGCAAAAATAGAAATGAAATTATGACGAATTATTGCGAAAACATTATTGCAACAAAATTATCCACCAGAATTTTCTGCAAAAAATTATTGCATAAAAATTATTCCAGACTAAACACTTAAACACACCGCTAGACGACAAAGGAATGCAACCCAGGTTAAAAAATATAGCTCGTGTGCGTCCTTGTTTCTCTCTTCTCAAGTTCAAAAACAACCCCATAACCAAACCAAACCCCTATAAATGTATATATTTAACTCAAAATAGCTCCAGTCTGTCTACTCTTTATGTAAATCCGAGAAGATTATTGACTTTAAATTTAAAACCGATAATTCGATCCCTGCTCTGCTCGGCATTAGGGTTTACTTAAAATGATACAGTTTCGAATTACATGCCTCTTCAAATATCACCCTTTCGGGTTGACATTGCATACATTGCTCAATAAATAAGTAATCATCAAATAACAATAAGTCGCCTATTCTGTGTGGCCGCTTGATAATAGGTTTTCTTCTGAATAATATATTGTCCTAGATTAAATTACTACAAGTTTTGGGAGAGGAATAATAAATTTGAAGAAGAGGTACATATGTATTTTATCTCTAAACATTGTCCTAGATTAAATTACTAGTTTACTTATAGTTTACCCTCTCGATATCAATTCCTTGCCGTCTCAAGGAGAAAATTCGAACTGTCGGAGCCCTCAAAATTGACGAGGATGATGATGATGTTGACGATGAAACCGTCGCACTGACCGTGGCACTGCTGGCGGTACTAAAGTCTTTCATTCTTCGCCCTCAACAACAATAGCAGTATTTACCGCAGCAGCAGTATTATACTAAACTGCTCGTGGTATTCAAAATTGAGTAGAAATTTGTCCTCCTAGACGCCCACTCATTCAACTAACGTACGTGCGTACTTTCGGTCGGTGGGTCGGTTTGAATGAAATTGGACCAACCAACAAACCAAATAACAATGTTTATTTTATATTGATACAAAGTTGTTGATGGAGTGTTTGAAAAGCCAAATATCTAATAATGGTACTATGCATGCACACTAACTAAAGCTAACCTCGCAATGTTATTAATAATGCAGTAAAGACCATTTCATTAAATGAACATTGACACAATACTGCTACACTACAATTGCTTGATTGAACATTGAAATAGGGGGAATTTTGTCACCAATTATTCGCATTATTTCGGCATCAAAGTGGAAATTGGCTATCGAAGGAACTGTTTAATAACGAGGTGTAGTTTTGTTTTCCGATATGTAAAACTAGTCAAGTAAGTTGTCGACTGTCATGAAAGATATCAAACTGGAAATTTCCTAGGAAGTTCCGATACGTAAAACTAGTCAAATTGGCTGAGAGAAAGGACAAAATAGTTAGAAATATAAAATGTAGGACATCAATTTCTCCAATCATTCAATGGACATTCAAGTGAACAATAACTTTCATTATTGACCTTGGCCTCGTGTCTGCCTGGCTGGACTGGACAATCGATATTAGGAACTATTTAAGACTACAAAAAAGTAAAGTCATAATAACCAAAGTGTTCTAATAACCGGTAAATTGTAGGGTTAAAGGTCGCTCTATAATAATAATTTTGACAGGAGGACGACAAAATAGATACGCAATTTTTTACACAATTTTGTCCCTCAATTGTTCCGTGGCCTATGCAAATGGGGGAACGGTTCCTATTTAATCAGCATCAACATCAACAATTAATGCAAAAAATCATTAACCAAACCAACCGACACGTGGAGAATTCAATAGCTCATTCCTTAACTGATCCATTACGCAAATTGATTCACCTATTTCCTAATGCGTATAGCTCATAATAGATAATCTACGTGAAGAGGAAAGGCATCATTATTGCCATCAATTTAAATCCCTATCATATTTAATTTAACGATACGAATTTGACACTCTCTCTCTGTCCCTCAACCTGACCTTTACTTACTACTAATTAAATTAATTATCCATTATTATGATTGAGAATCCAATCCAATATGTAATTCAGTCCGGTGTTGAATTGTATTGAATGAAATGAATGTTTATCAAATGGCGAACTTATTGTTTTGACTACTTACCATTGTGACTGTTGTTTACGTTATCTCAGCTGCCAGGCCACGGATTGAATAGAATGTAGCTGAACCTTCTTTTTCAGTTATTAAGGACACATATTTCCTCTTTTTCTCACTCACAGTTAGTACCTGCAAGACCAGTAATCAATTAGTATTAATTAATTACTACACTTAATCCTTAATTGTTAATAAGCAATACTGAAATTCCGTTCATACGCTATTATTTATTATTGGCCGTGTAGAAGAATTTTCCACGTTTGTCTGTCTCTTGCTTATCAGTCTTCGCTTCTCCCTCGATCTCCAGATTAGATTTCCAGAAGATAATCCACAAATGGTGATTTACAAGTAAATTATTGCAACGTTTAGTTTTAAATACGAGGTCGGTTTGTGTTTAAGGAATTGTTTTCACGCGACGCGTCTTCTTTAACAATCAATCTCAGTCTTTCTTCGGCTTGTCGTTCGTTGTCCTGCACTTTTTCTTATCGAAATCCTTACGTCCTTACGAATCAGGGAGCTTCATTCCTATATTAAAGTTCAAGAATTAAAGAATTAGAGTTTTTGAACACTAAAAATTAAACAATTCCAAATTTCTCAAAAGCCAAACATTTCAAACTTTGCAAAAACAAATATTTGCAAAATTCTTGTACAAAAAACTTGCAACTAACAATTCAAAAACGTTTAATTGCCGTATTTGTCAATTGTCAAAACCAAAAGCACTTCAAACTTTGCAAAAATGACAAAATTTGCAAAATTCTTATTAAATTTACACAAAAAACATTGCACAAAAACTTCCCACCTAATTAATTACCACCGTCCTTCAAAAACTAATTATTATTATTTAGTCATCTTCCTCCTCCTCCTTTTTTACTTACCTACTACCGAGCAGATGTTCCAACTTTAATTGCTCCAACAAGTCAATCAGTCATCAATTGTACATTAAAAATGTACTCACGAGCGAGGCCGTAGGTCAAGTTCACTAAATTTACTTCTTCTTCTTCGTCACCCTTATTATTATTTAGTAGACGATCCACCAGTCCATTTTCCATCCATTTCCATCACATTTTGCCAAAAAAAGGTTTCAATTTTCTTTTCCTGGTGATCAAATTAAATAAATATCGAACACGCGAATTAGATCAAATTCCATTCCACACATTTAACAAGATAGAATAGAAACACGACACCAGCACCACCACCACCACCACTTATCATTAAATATTAATCCCAATTAACTAACTAACTAACCAACTTACCCACCAAGAAATCGTCGTCTTCTTCCCCCCTTCCTTAATTAATTATTAACTAAACCCCCCACACAAACTAAAGCTAAAAACAATCCCCTTCCAAACTGTTCGAGAACTCTTTTCAAGGAAATCGAGCTGCTAAACTTAACAAATGAATGAATGAAGAACTGAATGAATGAATGAATTATTTACTTATTATTGGCGGATTTAGTATGTATATATATCTTTCTCTATAATAATAATATAAATATAAAATAGTTCCGCTGTCTTGTCGTCGTCTCCTTTTCAGCCAGCGAGCAATGTTGTTGCCAGAATTTTAGCCTTAAAAACTCGTTCCAATGAAATACATTCTTATAAAGAGCGCACTATACTCTTATTTCTATCCATCCATCGTATTAAAGAAGAACACACTATTTTAGAGAGAATATACACATACGCAAAGTAGCAGAATAAGTGTGGGTATCGTATCGTATATACGTTGTTGATGTACATCCACCCTCAATGTCAAAAAAATGGCAAAATTTCCACGAAAAAAAAACGACAAAATTAAGAAAAAAGGGTTAAAAAAGGGTTAAGTTTGACGCCTTTAAAGAAATTTTTTTTCTCAAAATAAATAAATATTAAATGCTCCTTCTTATTTAATAAAATGTAGCATGTTTAAACGGCGTTGAGCTTGTGCAAAACTAATTTTTTGGTATGGTTATGCCTGATAACTGGCTTATCTGTTGTGCTGTTTTATGTAGGGGATTTTTTTCGTGACAAAGTGGGTGATAAGCCCTCATCAATAATTTTGTATATGCAAGGATTTTATTTCGGAAGAAGCGGCTCGCTCTCGTGTTTCTTCCTCTGTTATGAAGCCATTGCATTTGTGAATTGTGAGTCGTCCATCCGTCCGTACATAGTATCAGTTTTTTGCGCCTCTCGCACTTTACTTAAGAGGAATAATATGGATGTCCACTAAATAAAACTCGGCCTGATCTGATGCTGCTATTCATATGCATATTCATGCAATATCAGCGCTTTCTCTTATGAGCTTGTGTCAGAGGAGGTTTATGCATTTATGAAAAAAAGAATGCCACAAATATGCATGAAGACATAAGAATTTTCATAAAATTTGTATACACTTTTACTTTAATTCTGTAGATTTTTGATGGACTTTGGGTTAAAAAAACTTGTAATTTGGATATGTATGTGCCAAAAAGTCTCTCAAATACCTATGTATTTAGTATTTCTGAAAAAGAAAAGCTAAAACATTTACAAGAAATGTAGGAACAAAAGAATAATATGTAAGAATTTTTACTAAATTTGTACTTTTGAACTAAATTTATATTGTACATTTCCTATTTTTGTCGTACAAATGTCCCAAATTTTTATCCTCTTGTCATGAAAATTTCAAACTTATTAGTTCACTCGGCACTCTTAATTGTTCCCAAAATCTTACAAAATTTTAGTCATTTTCCACAAAAGTCGAATTTAATTTCAATCTCTCAAAAACCTAGAAATATGTGACAATATGTAAAAACATTTAGAAATTTTTGCGATCTATGCGAGTTAATGAACACACCGACAAAGTTTAACCTCGGTCGTGATCAAACTACTATAAAAAGCTGGAAATAAATGCATATCCGCCCTCTGCTTACTTATTAAACATCTCTCTCCTGCTAAATACATCTCTCTGTCAAATGAAGGAAGGAAGGCGAAGAGGAGATGACGATTACGTATCATTTTGCGTCCAAATAAATCCATCCCCTCTTTTGTAGCATGGTATTCGTAATCGTCAGTTTTATTTCCATTCCATTGTCGTGTCCTCCTCCTGCTGCTGCTCTTCTCTTCTGTTACGTTATGTTCTTCCTTATTCATGAACATGTGCACCCCATAGTAAATAATCAAATGAGCATGGTTTTAAAGGGGTAAAAGTTCGTGGCGGTGGTGGTGGTGGTAGAGATGATCATGTTATGTAATAAACAACAGAATTGTGTAATGGACAGGGCATGAAAATATGCATGGAAGTAAATTGTGCGAATTTTTAGACAGGTTTAGTTTTGCAAATTCACGAAACAGTTTTGCAAATTCACGAAACAGTTTTGCAAATTCATGAAAAACCTGTAATGCATTACATACTAAATTAATTTCTTGCAAATTTTTTTCGCATGGAATAAATTCCCGGTGGTGGTGGAGATGTTATATAATAGAATTGTGTAATGGACCAGGAATGAGAATAAATTGTGCGAATTTTTAGACAGGTTTAAACAGTTTTGCAAATCCAGGAAAAATATCATATATATTACAAAATTAATTTTTTGCACATATTTTCCGCATGGCATAAATTCCCGGTGATGTTATATAATAATAACCAGCAGAATTATGTAATGGACCAGGCATGAAAATAAATTATGCGAATTTTTTGGCATGTTTATCTAAACAGTTTTGCAAATCTATGAAAGATCTTCTATGAATTACGAAATTAATTTTTTGCACATACATATTGACATATAAATTCCCTGTGCATTTTAATGTAATACTGGCCTTATTTGTGTGATGGACAGGGTATGAAAATAAAGTGTGCGAATTTTTATGCATTTTTGCAAATCCATGAAAAATCTCTTCTACACATATTATAAAATTAATTTTTGCATTTTTTCCGCATCCCATAAATCTCCGGTGTATTTTACTGTAATACTGGCCTTATTTATGGGTCCATAAAATTTAATGGGGGGCAAAAATGGTATGCATGTCATAAATCTATCAATTTAGGATATTTCTGGGCAGAAGTAATGTTTGTGTGTAAATGCATGAAAAATTTTATGCATTTCTGGCATGAAAATATATTCATGACATTGGAAAGAATCGTATGTAAATTGTGCAGTTTGTGAATTTTTTTCATGAAAACCAATTCATTTCATCACATTTTTTGGGGTGATGCATAATTTCCCAGTATTTTCTGGACATAATAAATAATACATAAATTCCCAGAAATATATTATCACTTTGCTCTTATCGAAAATGTACAGGACACATATGGCATGCCATAAATGGCAAAGATATTATTTATTTCCATTGCATCGAAATAACTACAACTCTTATAGTTGTAAATCAGTAAATAAATATTACCCACTCGTGAAATGGACGAACACCTGCCTCAACAAAATGAGACACCAATTAAATCTTTACTGGGCCGTGTTATGTTGTTATTTTTGGTTTGCTACATGAATATTTCATGACTTACGATAAGTTATTATGATTTATTCATCCATGAAACTGCAGCATGCGTATCGAAATAAGCTCCAGCCAGGAATACATAAATATAATAAACTCGCGGAAATGAAGTAAATTTTGATAAGCAAATTGTTGAGGTGCATCATTTCCTAGAAAAATTTGACATTTTGCAGACGTTTCGACATTTTATGACCTTTAACCTCGTTTGCCCGGTCACCAGGTTAGTTTATGTCGAAAAGCGATGATGATTTTTGAATTCTACGACCAAAACTGTGAAAAACGGTCAAAATTTGAAATTTTTCCGGACGGACGGACGGACATTTCTACATAACTACATAAGCTTCTCTTCGTTCCGCTCATTAATAATTAATTAACTATTTCCTGTTATGTAATTGCAGATCGGAATAATTGGCGGGACTGGGCTGGACAACCCCGACTTGTTGGAAGCCCGACGGGAAGAGTATGTCGAAACGGTGTTCGGAAAACCGTCGGATGCTCTGATTCATGGGAAAATTGGTGGCGTCGAGTGCGTCATTTTGGCCAGACATGGCAGAAAACATGACGTTTCCCCGACAAACGTCAACTATCGGTGAGTGAGTAAAGGTCAAAAAGTGATCTTTGACAGGGTTACGGTCCAAGGCAGTGGGAAAAATGCATTTTCCCACTATTTAACACCCATCCAAAAATTAGTTAAAAATGTGAAAAAGTGCATTTTTCCCACCCACCAAAAACATGTCAGAAATGGGAAAAATGAATTTTTCACATTTTACCACTGTTAAAATAAGCGCATGAAAATGGGAAAAGGTGTGTTTTTATCGCACGTTTTTGATTGAACCACTCTCAGCTATATCACCAATTTTCCCACTTTTTTCACGGGTAAAACAATGTTTTCTACTGTAAAACCATTTTCTCCACGGTAAAACCCACTTTTTCCCACGGTAAAACCCACTTTTTCCTACATGCCCTGACAAAAACGAAACCCTGACCTTTGAACTCTTCATTTTTTGCAGGGCCAACATCTGGGCGCTGAAGGAGGCCGGATGCACGCACATCATCGCGTCCACGGCTTGTGGCTCTTTGAAGGAAGTCAGTCTCATCAAAAAATAATCAAAAATCTAATCTTACACAGATACATAACTGAATTTTTATGCATAGGAAATCGTTCCCGGCGACTTGGTCATCTTGGACTCCTTCATCGACCGCACGTCCAAAAGGGAGCTGACTTTCTTCGACCAAAAAACGCCCGGCGGTCCTTCAGGGATCTGCCACATTCCGATGGAACACGCCTATGACGACGCCACCAGGAAAATCCTCATGCAAACGGCGAAAGAGTTGAGATCTTTTTTTTGCAAATTTTGTCCCCAACTATTTTGTGATCGTTTTGTCTGTCCATCTGTCCGTCCTTAAAGTCCTTAGGTCAAGGTGAACCTGGCCTGGCGTAAGGTCAAGGCCACCTTAGCGTAGGGTCTAGGTCACCCTGGTGTAAATAACCCAACTTGGGCCTTAATTTTCATACGTAATGTCATTTTAAATTAAATTCCACTACCAATTCAACTCTAATCTTCGTTATTTTAGACCTCAGATCAACCCATGACTGTGTGGAGGAGGTCAAAGGTCAAAAATGCATAATTGTTACTAATTGTCAGATATCGGTTCATTTTAAAGAAAATTTCAATGATTTTGAGCCTTTGACGCCAATTTCTTTATTTTGGTTTGATACGGTTAATTCTCAAAGTTTACTAGATCCGGCAAGTCTGAGACGTAAATCGCAAATCGCAAATAAACAAAAAAAAACGGCGTAAAAGCGATTTTGATGTGTGACATTAAAAATAATGTCACACATCAAAATCGCTTTTACGCCGTTTTTAATTCGCTTGACATAGTTCGCAAAAACTAAAAAATTAGTTGCAAATTAAATTGCAAACGTTATTTTTAATGTCGCAGATTAGTAATCAAAATCGGTTTTACGCCGTTTTTTTTAAAATTCGTTTGACATGGTTTACAAAAACTAAAAAAAATAGTTGTAAATTAAATTGCACACGTTATTTTAATGTCGCAGATTAGGAATCAAGTTCCACCCGAGCGGGACTTCTGTGTGTGTGGAAGGTCCCCGATTTTCCACCCGGGCAGAAAGCAACGTCTTCCGTTCTTGGGGTGCGGCCACTGTCAACATGACCACGGTCCCGGAGGTGAGATGAGACTCTAAATATAATATATTTGCATATTATGCAAATTCTAATTAAGGTCACAATTTGATCTGTAATTGATTCTAAATCTCACTCTACCCCCCGGTCATTCGCAAATTTCTAAAATGCATCGATTTCATGAGTTTTCAGATAAATGCAACTTTTCATAGTTTTAGGGATTTTTTGGTGTAGCAAAATATATTAATTTGAAATTTTAAGCAAATTGACATTCATTTTTTTAGAAAATTTATTGTGAAAAAATGGCAAATGAATTAGCATTTTTTTGTACTACCAAAAATTAACTTTATTATGAAAAGTTGCATGCATTTATCTGGAAATTTGTGAAATAAATGTCATTTTGTCACGATAAATTTCCTCAAAAATAAATTAACTATTTTGTCAAATCGATAGTTTTATAGTGCCAAAAATTAATTTTTCATTAAAGTCCAAAAAGTTACATTTATCTCAAAACTCATGAAATGCATACCATTTTAGAAATTTTCATTTAAAGAGATTAAATCGGGGCATAGTGAGATTAAATATCTATGCCACATCAAATCTTCATCCAATAGCACCTTAAAAATTGCTAATTTACATATTTTTACCAGGCCCAACTCGCCAAGGAGGCCGGAATTCTGTACGCATCCGTCGCAATGGCCACGGACTACGATTGCTGGCGAGATACTGGAGAAAAGGTCAGCGTCGCCAATGTCATGAAGACATTCAAAGAAAATGCAGAAAAAGTTACCAATATTTTCAAAACTGTCGTTCCAAAAATTGCGGAGAAAGACTGGTCCAAAGAGATTCAGGAAGCCAAGGTAAAATCCAAAAATCGTCAAAGGGCACATAAAATCTGCACATTTTATTTGTAAATCATTTCTCGCATCTGGGAATTTATTTTAAATTTCGGAACAGCAAATTTGTAAAGGAGAGGTCGTCCCCATTTTAAAAAAAAATAAAGACTCCTGATTTTGACACTTTTTGAAGGAGATTTCAAGGTTAATTAGCCCTTTTAGGAACTCGTGGAAACTGACTTCAGAAACTTACCGCCATTCAATCAATCAACGTATTGACTGAATACAATTTTGTCGTCCAGAATTATAAAATAAGTTCCCAAAGGAGCTAAATGATTAAAAATGTGATGCTTTTTACCATTTTGCTGATGAGTCACTTCGGGGGTAATCATTTTTTATTTGAATTATGTACATAATTTCTTTTTGTAGGAACTTGTCGCCGGCGGAGCCATGTAAAATGTGACCGGAAATCATGCATTTCAACAAAACTTTCAACAAAATAAAATGTAAAATTAATTCGTAAAATCATTTTCAAAATTTTTTTCAATGCAAAAATTTTCACAAAAAAACATGTAAACTTAATTCGTTAAATCATTTGCAAATTTTTCTTCAGCAAAAATTTCGATTAAATCTCCCATGTACTAAGTAAAATAAATTCGTACACAAAATCATTTATATTTCAACAAAAATCATTTTAACAACCAATTTGGTCAACAATAAATCCAGTTAAACAATGTAACAACTTTAATAAATTACATATCTAATAATAAATTCAAGTTTCCAAAAATACTGGTAAAAGATTTTGTAAAAGTGTGTAAAGTGTCGTCAAAGTTTGTCAATTTCGTCATTGTCGTGTCATTTTCTTCGTCATTAAATTCTCGTCGTCAGTCTGTACAGTCAGTACGGGTGTCATTTTCGTCACATGTCATTATCAGTCATGTCACGTCACGTGATTTCGTCAAGCATGTCAAAATGTCGTCAATCGTCATTCGTAGCTCGTCAAAAGCGTACTTTTTTGTCCTTGTCTCATTTTCGTCTCATTTTGCTCAAGAAAGTCGCATTTTTTTGCAAAAAAATGTAAGACAATTCGACTGCTAAATTTTTGTCATGTGTTTTGCCAAAATACTTTTCGCATTGCACGAAAATACGGAACAATCTGTGTCGTCTTCGGGCGCCGTTTTGCGACTGGTCGCCCCTGCCCCCGACTTCTTATCCGGCTTCATCCCTGTCAGGATCTTCTTTTTGTATTTGCTCTCCTTCGGAAGACTCGAGGTTAATCTGTCCATTACAAAAAAATAAATGTAAATAAAATTTTCAGCATTGTTTTATTTAGAAAATTATCTGCATTTCGCAAATATTAGCAGTATTTTTTAAGAAAATTATTGCCACTTTTTAAGAAACTTATCAGCAATTTTTAGAAAATTTGTATCTTTTTAGAAAATTATCAGCATTTTTTAAGAAAATTATCACTACTTTTTAAGAACTCATCAGAAATTTTAGTAAATTATCAGCAATCATTAGAAAATTCGAATTTTTTCCGAAAATTATCAGCATTGTTAAGAAAATTATCAGCATTACAAAAGTTATCATTATTTTTTTACGAAAATCACCAACATTTTTTAGAAAGGTAGCATTATTTTAGAAAATTATTATCATTTTTTCAGAAATTATCAGCATTGCATAAATTGACGCCATTTTTTCTCCCAAAATTACCAGCATTTTTCTTTATAAGCAGCATTTTTTATCCAAAATCCCCTTTTTTCAAAAATAATTTCAAAATTCCTCACCCCTCAACCCAGCCATCCATCCCAACCCCCCACTTCCTCCCGACCCTCGCCACCTCGCAGCTTATCCGTTCCACACACTCCTCACTTTGCACCACCTCCGTCACCATTTCCGGCAGAAGTCCCCCCATTTTTATCGCCCTCGCAGAAAATTCCGCAATTCCATTCGACACACTTCTTCCCGCCGGCGTGACCACGACCGGGATTGGAATAAAGAGCAAGAGTGCCAAAAGTGGGAGGAGGATGGGCGCCAGGAGAATTGGCAACAAAATTGGCAGGAATGGAAGCGCCAGGGCGAACGGGGCCAGCGTGATGAGACCCTTGGCCCCCTTCAACCCGAGAAGTCCGAGGGCCCCCAGGAGCCCGGTGAGCCCGGAGGCACCCCCACCCTCCCCACCGCCCTCTTCCTCCTCCTGCCCCCACCCACCCATGGTCTCCTCAACCCCGTAGCTTTGCCGGTTGTCGGAAGGACGGCGGTAGTAGTGACCTCCGCTGTACTGCGGGATCGCGTTGGACGCTGCGACTTCGTACGTGGGGTAGAATGAGGCTGGAAAAAAATTTGCATAATTTATTAATTCCTTGGAATTTGCATAATTTGAGGCAATTAACGTGGTCATTTATAACTTCATAAAGTCGATGCGTTTAGTAAAATAATTTTGCAACTTTTACAAAATAAGAGGCGCCCTTAATCCGAGAAAACTTAAACTTACAAAAATGGGCGAGTTAATTTTCCTCAAAAATATTTCTAAAAGTTTGTAAGTTTGCAGAATTTACGGATTTTACAATGAAGCGATTAACGCGGTCATTGGTAACTTTGTAATATCCGTGTTAGCTTTACAATTTTATAACGAATTAAAGAGACGTTACACAGACGCGCTTTATCTGAATTTACAAGTTTGCAAAAGATTTTAATTTTCCTTTCGAGATATGAATAAAATTTTATAAATTTACGAATTTTGCAATATGTCAATTCATGCAGTCATTGCTAACTTTGTATAATCTGAGCGTCTTGTAACATAATTTTATAAAAGAAGAAGACGCTCTCGATATGAACTTACAAGATGATAAAAATTCGGAATTTTCATTTCAAATATTTTGTAGAGGATTGTAAATTTACAGAATTTACGGATTTTAATTACAAAGTTACAAAGTCCTGCGTGAACTGTCAACTTAAAATTAATTATGTAAATGGCACAATTTTTTCTGCACGTATGTACATATTTAAAATCAGACAAATTACAAACTAAAGTGACGCCCTGAATCTGAGAATGAATAAGTTTACAAAAAATTGTAAGCTAATTACCCTTACAAATATTTGTAAAAGTTTGCAAAATTTGTAAATTTACAAAGTTACCAAGCCCTGCGTGAACTAATGCAAAAGACAATAAAATTATCTCTGTATTTAAAATTTGACAATTTTTCCCTGCCCGTTTTCTTTCGTTTACAAAATTTACAAAGTTACCAAAGTCTACCTGAATTACCTCGCTACACAAACGACACAATTTTATCTACATATGCAAATTAGCCAATTTGTTTCCTACCCGATTTCGGTTGACACCGCATCGCCCCAGATTCCGTGTAAGAACACAATTGTCTCCCTTGACCGGCATGATGTTGTGCTACTGCAGGCTGTGCTGCCTGTCCCCCTGCGGCCGCTGGGAACATTTCGTAATAATACATCGACTGCCCCCCTCCCGCTGTGCCTTCCTTCCTTTGGGGTGCCTCCGTGATAGAAACGTCCCCCTGAATCTGCCCCCCACCATCCACCCCGTTTTTACCACCAGGATCCACATAATTCTCAACAATCTTATTACTCACATCTTTTGGGGACGTGTAACTCTGATAATTCGAAGACCAGGATTGTCCCGATGCAGAAGAACTCAGGAGAAGAACACAAAGGGCAAAAAATAAGGGTCCTTTTCGCCCTCTAAAGGTCATTTTACTATTATTTTTTTAATGTTCGTCTCACTAAAACACTAAAAAAATTCGTTGCTTAATCAAAATCAAGCGAATCGAGACGGAGAACTGAACCAAAATTTAGTCATGAAAGAATTTATATTGCGGGCAAAAAGGAGGTGACTTGGTCAAGTGGTTCGGTTAATAAATGGTCGTCTAACTTACATCCAAGTCACTCGTGGACGTCGTCGTCGTCACCTTAAGTAAGCTAAGCGCCCATTTGAATATCCATCATCCGGGTGGGTGGTTTGGCGTGGCGTGGACCCCTTCGTTCGAAGAGGAATCGCTTCATCATTGTTTTGACAAGGAGAGGCTTTTCGCTAAGTAAATAGCAATCTTGCTGGCTTGACTTGGTTTGATTTTCGGCGATCTGTACAAGAATACCAGGGATCTTTACGTACGTACAAGAATAGCACTTGAATTTAAAGGAATGTATTTTAAGTGCGGGGATTGATCATATGCACACTCATCTCATTCACCAGGCCACTCTTGACTTTGAAAGTGGTCCTTGTTACGATATCGTTTAGGTAGGTAGAAAAATCGGGCTTCTTTCTTTTCTGTGTCAGGTTTGGTTGGGATGCCGAGAATAAAGGAAATTCTCCGTATTTATTTATTCACTTACAAGGTCCCTAGTTAGTCGAGATTCTCTTTCGTAAATATGCAGCATTGTTCATTCTGCGTGCAAAATTTATTCACCATTTTTCATTAATTGCATGTATGTACAAAATTCTGAATACGGACCAAATCGAGTAAATGAATGCACAAAGAATTCTATGCATGTCGACTTTATTTTCATTTTCTGTTGAATTATACATAGGCACATTCCTTAAAGAGATGTATGCACATATTTACGTACATTTTGCAGTAGCGAAAGTCTCACGATACATGCAAAAAATCGGGTACATGCATTGAACTTCTTATATTATTTGCTAAATGATACGTATTTACATATTTATGTATGCACATCCTGCTCTTCAAAATCAATCAATACCTGCGATTAAGCAGTGTACCTAATTAATTGGACATATTTCGACATTTTTTTGTTTCGATTGGAATTTCGGCCATTGAATGTGTAAATATGCATTTATGTAGATCTAATAATATCATCATCTTCATCATCCACTTGAACGGACATTGTTCCCATTCTTCCCATCACATTAGTAATTCTCCGCCACGGAATTCAATATAATTTAATACTAGATTCAAGATGAGGTCTTAATTAAATACATGTCAGGATTGGAATTCGGATCTAAATATGCACCAGTATTTATTAATTGGATGTATTTATATAATTAGATATTGAAGGACATGTTTTTGAAATTGAATTTAATCTTGACAAGCTTTCGTTCGGTACCTTCATCGGGTCATAAATTGGAGTAAAATCATACATGAAATTTGATTTTGAAAAATAATACGAGTGGTTTAAAAAAAAGTGACGAGCTGATTTGTCAGTTGGCTTATATTATAACTCTATGGTTGGCGTACACAAGCATGTAAATGCATACGTATGAAAAAAGAATGCGTACAATTTGACGTTTGATTACAATAAATATTTATTATTATAATACACCCATAATTGCACCCCTGTCATCATCTTTGTTTGTCCAAGGTGTGTAAAAAAACTGAAGCATGTCAGTCATCACATACAAGTCAAGTGTCGTTAATAATGTCATGTCATCACTATTGGTCTTTACACGTACATATTTAAATAAATAGCTTGCGTCGATTTTAAGTAAGTCATCGTGTCAGTCAGTCTACTTAATTTGTAAGGGTGGGTAAAATACTTTGTTAAAATGCAGTATTTTGAGCCCGGTTCTTCCCAGGGTTTGGATTTCCGGCGGGGCTGTTACACCCACAAAAAGACGAAAATCTACGTGGAGAAGGCAACAGTCAGTCAAAAATACGGGTTTTCTGAAGAAATTAATTTTTTATCGCTGTGTTTTCACAATTTTTTTTTAGAAATAAAGTATTTTAACAACGGTATAAAATTAATTACCGACAACCCCTACATTTTCATGCGACTGTTTCATCCACAAAAAGATAAAAATCTACGTAGAGAAGACAGAAATCAGCCGGAAATACAGGTTTTTTGAAAAAAATTTTGTTTTCATCGCTGGAAAAATTATTTATTTTTAGAAAATCGTGAAAACAATGCATTTTTCCAACGATAAAAAGATAATTTCTTTACAAAACCCGTATTTTCGACGGGCTATTGCCTTCTTAAAGTAGATTTTCGTCTATTTATTGGTGTAACGCAGCACCGGAAATCGAAAACCCTGGGAAGAACCGAGCTCAAAATATTTGACTCACAAAGCATTTTGCCCACCTTTTTTAATTCGTATTTATTAATGGCCTGGTTTTCTGTCTCGAAGTCTAAAGTCGATGCGGAATAATAATTACAAAATATTTATGGCTTCAAAATTCTTCTAAAAATGTGCACGTTTCTAATATCATAAATAATTTAAGAGATTATAATAATTTGAGTATTTAACAAAATTAGTGAACTTTTTCCTCAATTTTTCTACTCTTTCCTCCCCCACCGAAAACTGATTCTGGCGTGCATACAAATTTCATGCATACATCTTCGGAGGAAGACGATTTTTCATGATTTTTAGTAAAGTCCTCTTCCTTCCTTAATTTGAGACCTCTCCTAATTTTCTCAAAATAACGACCCTCCTCCGGCAAGCTGTTGGCCAACCTGAAATAATTTTACAAAAGAATTCAATCAAAAGTTAGCAAATACCAATCACCCCCCAAACATTACGTATTTCTTTAAAAAAAAATAAATCTGTAATCGTACAAACCCTGCCACTTTTAAAATCTCCATAAAAGTTTATACATAAAAATTGTACAAAATTTTCTGTGCTTCTCGTTCTGCAGAAAAATTTGACAAATTTTCAGTAGATTTTGTAAAATCTGTGGCATTATAAATAACCACAAAAGATTTTGAAACCCTGCTAATTATTTTAATCATCATAAAACTTCATACACATAAATTCTGCATAAAAAATGATTTACAAATTTTCAAAATTTGAAAAACTGTAGCATTACAGATAAAATTCTGCAAATCCTTTATCTACATTTTCTCATAAAACTTCTCATAAAGAAAGGATTAAAATCCCATGCAACGACAAAGCTAAAACTTGTGTTGGGAACACATTTTTCTTTGACGACGTCCAGCACTTGTTTAGACTCGTGTTGAACGTTAACTATTAATTAATTAATATTGATAATATATAATATTGAATTAATATTAATTAATATTAATATTAATTATCAATTAATTATTAATTAATATTAATATTAATTATCAATTAATTATTAATTAAAATTAATTGCGGTAATTAATTACGCATAATTTTACGAGAAATAAATTCATTTCACAATATCCATACCACGATGGAAGCCTTTAACGTGGTATGCATATTGTGACATGAATCTATTTCTCGTTAAATTATGCGTAATTACCATAATTAATTTTTCTTTCGGAACAAGCGGATGATATCCAGTCAGAGTCATCAAATGGCGGATCCGAACACATTTAATCAACACGAGTATAACTAAACAAGTGCTGGACGTCGTCAAAGAAAAATGTGTTCCCAACACAAGTTCGTTGCATAAAACTTTATACGTAAAATTTGCACAGATAAATTTCCCAAATTTTTACCACGTCAATTTCGCAAATTCTAAAAATAATTATTCTCTCACCTTTCCACCCACATCCACCCCACGCCCCTAATCCCGTCATACTCTCTCCCAGATCTCGCCACCCTGCAAACGATCCGCTCCACACACTCCTCACTTTCCAGCACGTCACGCACCATCCTGGAAACGCTCGAAAATGTCGCATTCCTCAAAAAATTCAGGTCGATCATCGTGATCGCGGATCGTCCCGGGATTAAAATCGGCTTCAAGAGAAACGCCACCCCGAGCAGGATCAGTTTCAGGCCGATCAAGGTGAAGGGAATGACCACGATGGGGAACAGGATGGGGCCCAGGAGGGGCAGGAAGGGGAGCAAGGTGACCAACCCCTTCGCACCCGCCACGCCCTTCAACCCCTTCAACCCCACCAGACCTAAGAGACCCGCAATACCGCTCCCATCACCACCACCACCTTTGTCGTCACCATCATCACTAGAACCCCACCCCCCACCAGATGTCATAGGAACTCCGTACGAGTCGGCATTACCTAAAAAAATGTACAGGGTCAAATAAGTTTTTGCAATTTGCATTGCAGGGATAAAATCCGACATTTTTGAGAAAAATGAGACAAAAATGAGACGAATACTTTTTCGAAATATAGTATTTTAAGCCCCGTTCTTCCCAGGGTTTGGATTTCTTGGGCTGTTACACCCACAAAAAAAAACAATAATCCACATGGAGAAGACAACAGTCAGTCGAAAATGCAGGTTTTCTGAATAAATTAACTTTTTATCCTTGTCGAAACACTTTTTAGAAAATCGTGAAACAATGCATTTTGACAGATAAAAAGTTCATTTGATCCTAAACCAGTATTTTCGTCTGACTGTTGTCATCTTCACGTAGATTTTCGTCTTTTTTTGTGGGTGTAACAGCCCAAGAAATCCAAACCCTGGGAAGAATTTAGCTCAAAATACTAAAGCATTTTAGCGATCACTGAAAATTTTGCAATTTTTCCATTCTTTTTTCTGCTTACTCACCATCCCTGCGATATTTGCACTTCATTTTCCCCTTGTCCGTCATGATACACCTCTTTTTCGACTTGATAACAGGATAATTGTATTGTTGTTGAGGATACGTTTGGTAATGGAACATGGTGGGGTTGCCCATCACTGGTGGATTATCCACACCCACCACCACGTTCCCTTCTTCCTGAGCCGGTTGTCCATATGCAAAGCCCTGCTGAACCTGACGACCTGTTGACCCCCCACTTGTTACCGTTACTGATTGCGAGGCGGTAATGTAGGCAAAAATGAGGAAGAAATATAAAATTCGCATTTTTGATGAGACACGCATTTTTACAACTTTTCATGGGAGTCGAAAAAGAAACTGAAATCCGATCAGTAAACATTTTACCATTTTATATCAAGATTTTTTTCCTTGTGTTTCGAAATGAGGTCGTCGAAATGATAACTTATTTATTTATCGATATGCGTGGGATAGATGATTTTGCATAGTTTACAATTAAAATATTAGTGGACTGGTCACATCATCGAATGATACGCAGTTTAATATTTATTATTCTTTCTTGTTACTTACCCTTCTTTATGAGTACGCAGAGGGCGGATATGTATTTATTTTGGTAAGCATTTTGGGACAATGTTGTTAAGAGAAAGATTAAAGATTAGAAATTAAAGATTAACGATTAAATAATAAATTTGAAATTTTTGTGACAAATATTTTTCATGACAGGAAAATGCAAAAATTGGTAAATTTGTACGCCAAAATCGGAAATTATTAATATTAAGGAACACGCATGAAACAATAATTAAATAAGATTTATATTTATTTCAAACCTTTACATTCGATGCCGACGATGATCAAATTTTGTAAGTGTGTTGCGTTCATTAACTTTTATAGAGACCCAAATTTCAATTCTTTGTTTTTTCACATATTGCTTAACAATTAATTTATACCTGAAGTTACGTAGTTTAATAAACCTATTAGTAAAAAAAATCACTTTTCGGCGGTGTACATACGCATTTTGACTATTTATTTATTTATTTATTTATTTATTTGTTATTTTAACGATGTCCCGCATTCCACACAGTATTGTCACACATTTCTAGGTTTTCGGACATTAATATTTCCGCTATGATTTAAAAAATTCGTAAATCTTTTACATATTTTTTTAATATTTCAATAATGTGAGACGAAATTTTTCTGGTCAAAGAAATTGGACCACAAAAAATCCAAAGTATGAATTTTGCTAGAATTCTTATTTTTATGTTGTTTTTTTCGTACAGACTCGGTGATTTGGACAGAATTTTGACATTTGACATTTTTTTCATAAACATTAAATATATATTTTACCTATATTTTACCTATATAAATACATATCCGCTCTCTGATCGCGACGGAATTATGTGAATCCAATGCATACGTACAAATGTAAAGTGTCTCTTTAACAGAATTCCTCTATCCACTCCGGATGACTAAATAAATGACAATGTGATGCGACCACCATGCACGCCTCGCAATGAATGAAAGCACTTGAAAATAAAATGAATTCAAAATGAATTATTTTCTTTTTATTAGCATTGATCTTGACCGAGAATGGAATGCGGGACATTGATAAAATAACAAAAAAATATGTAAATAAATAATTAAAATGCGTATTTACATCGCCGAAAATTAATTTTTCTAATAATCAGGTTTAACAAAATTAATCAAATTCAGATTGAATGGAATTAATTAAATGTTTGGATTAATTAATGTTTTACTTTGATTTGAAGCAGGAACATCAAGTCTTATCAAGAGCATATTTCTCAATTTTATTACAACTTCGTCAAATAATAAGTTAAAAATAAATTACGTAGTTTCTTAAATAGAAAAAAATATGAAATTGAAACCGGAAGTTGAACAGAAATTCGGGAACATTGTACACATTTCTTTCTTCACCAAAGTCCAAGTTAAAAAAAGTAGATCGAGTATTTTTTAGGTCAGTCCGTGAAAGAGTGAGACCAATAATTGTAAATTTGTCAGGTACTTATTTGTCCAAATTATTTTCGTCACGTCGTCATCGTCATCGTCACTTCGTCACAAATTCGTCACAAATGTCTTCTTGATCAAGTTTTTCGTAAATTTAGTAACGTAATTCGTAATTTCATATGTAAATTTTCATAACGTACTTCATAATTTTTTGTCAGTCATAAATACACAAAATTTTCTACTACATAAAATTTTACTTAAACATTTGTTCCCTTTTCCCATTTCGTTAACGGTTTACAAGCTAATTTCAAACATGTCTCGTTTCCTTTTGCGTCATCATAAAACTTGATGCCACGTTTGATCCCGATTTTTAATCCTCCAGTCTTACCATCCTTCGGTAATTGGTTGACAATTCTAGTTCAAAATAAATAAATGATTTAAATTTTCATTTCAAAACTTCAATAATTGGAAAAATTAATTAATAACAACGTTGAGAATTTCAATCCTAAAATTTCAATAATTACAGCTACAAACGTTAATTAATACAAAAGTTAAAAATTTCGATTTAACAAATTTCAAAACTCAATAAAAAAGATCAAAATTTCAGTTTCAGCATTTCGATTTAACAAATTTCAAAAATCAATAAAAAAGATCAAAATTTCAGTTTCAGCATTTCAATTTAAAAAATTTCAAAAATCATTAAAAAAAGATCAAAATTTCATTTTCAGCATTTCAATTTAACAAATTCCAAAAATCGATAAAAAATATCAAAATTTCAATTTCAAAATTCCAAAGTTTCAATTCAAAATTTCAATAAATCCAAATTTAATTTACTTTTCCATGAAACCCTCCTGAATCCCGAACTTTCTGCCAACTCTCGCAATTTCGCACGCCATCCTTTCCACGCACTCGGGACTGGTCACGACCTCATTTACCAAATCATTCAAGCCAACAAATCTCTCCAGCAGTACGGTCCTCGTCATATTCGCGTCCAGCAGTTCAAACTGCGCGCCTCCGCGCGCCATGGTCCTCCCAGTAATTACAGGGATCGGAATGAACAAGAATAGAATTGCGAGGAGCAAAAGGGGCAGCAGCAGGGGGAGGAGGAGGGGCAACAGGAGGGGTAGCAGGAGTGGTAAAAGTATCGGTAAAAGTGGGAGGAGCAATGGTAACAAGGCCAACGCGCTTTTCGCACCCTTTAGACCTTTAAGTCCTTTCAGCCCGAGGAGTCCGATGTACGGGAGGAGGGCTTCAAGTCCGCCGTCTTCGTCTTCCTCTTCTTCTTCCCCCCAGCCCCCACCCCCTCCGCCATAGCCTCCTTTGCCCTTAGAAGAACCACCCCCCTTGCCCCACCCACCTCCACCACCCCCGCCCCCACCATATCCACCTCCCCCAGCCCCACCAATCACGGCTGCAGCGGCGTAAGAGTCCAAACCTTTAGAGAAAATACAAAATTGTCTCATTTTTCCCTTTCTTTAAGATGTCATCGGATGACGATTTTAATTATGTCATAGATTTTTATAATCTCATATTCTACCCTAATGCAACCTCTTTCCATGTAATTTCTAAAATGGGCATTAATTTCACGAGTTTTCAGATAAATGTAAGTTTTCATATTTTAAAGTTAATTTTTGCCAGTACAAAACTACCGATTTGAAAGAAATTCGCGAATTAATTTTTCAGGAAATTTATTCTTAAAATATGTTAAATGACTTGGCTATTTTTTCAAATCGATAGTTAATTGTACTAAAAAAATTGAAATAATTTAAAATTTAAAATTAAAAAAATTAACTTTCCATTAACGTCCAAAGTGCATTTATACATCTCAAAACTCATGAAATGCATGCTATTTTTACAAATTTACATGTAACGACGTGAAGAGTGTGAGATTAAAAATCGAACCAATTCCACCTTAATAAACCCCAATTTTGTTAACCTTAACCTCCTTTTTCTTACCTACACCACCCCCACCCCCACCTCCTCCTCCTCCTCCCCCAACTCCATACGAAGAATCCCTCCTATTCAAACATTTGATCTTTCCCCTCGTATAAGTGCATCTTCTCCCCCCCTTCTTCTGGTACGGGGGGAACATGTCGTACCCGTACGAGGACCTCGGTTGCGTCCCACCCATCAATCCCGTCTCGTCATAATTATTATTATAATTATTGGAAAAACTGTTATAATAATTTCCTCCTCCGTACGGCGTCGTCACTTCCGGTTCTGTCTGCATAACGCCCGAATCAAGACTTCTCGCCCCCCATGACTCCGTTCCGGTCACACTCACGTCACAATTCACACCGGAAAAATAACAATTTAACGTCAGTGTCAAAATTACTAAAAAATTGTAACGTTCCCATTTCAACATTATATTTTAGGAAATCTTCCCTCAAAAATATGTCAAAATTTTAAAAAAACAGGACACTTTCCGAAGCAAGGTACCGAATCAAACTGTAAATTCATCCCCGACATTGTCCCACTATTTATATCGGATCAGAATGAATTTGTATGAAAAATGACGACGCCTCGTCAACTCGTCTGCTTGAGTGGACGTTTGATGCGATGTGTGGACTGGTCATTCAGCTATATTTGGTTCATGCACAATATGATTTGTACCTGAGGAATTTATAAATCGTGATTACAAACTTTGCCGAATTTTTAACCATTCAATTTTTACTGTACAAAGTACAAAGCGAATTTGTCAGATTAAGGACAGACCAGACACATAGATGTATTTTTATTCGGATGAGCATCATTGCTCAAAAAAACCAGAAGTTTTAAGCCCGAGTCAGGTTGTCATTAAATTGTAATTTTCCTAAGGCGAATATATATGCACATTTATGAAAAATTTTGAAAAATTGATTTCTTCAAAGCTTTAGTTAAACAATGCATTTTTTTGCCCAAATTTCTACAAGAATACTACATTATATTATTGATTTTATGTAGTTATAAACAAACAAAAAATACATTTCAACGTCTTCATTTTACAAGTTTTTTGTTCTTGCGATTTTTTTATCGATATCTAAAAATTGTTTCGTAATTTTGCATCTGCAAAATTTACGATAAGTTTTACGAGCATAATCGATAGACAGACAGACAACCATAACCGGTACATAAGCTTTGACTCGGACTAAAAATATTTAAACATTTTTAGCCAAATTGAATATGTATAAACAAAAATTGTAATTTTCCTAGGGCTAATATGCATATTTATTACAAATTTTGAAAAATTGATTTTAATTTCTTCTAAGCTTTAGTTATAAAATGCATTTTTTTGTCTAAATTTCTACAATTCTATATGAATTCTATCTATGAATTCTATATGATCTAATTGATTTTATGAAGTTATAAGCAAACAAAAAAATACATTTTGACGTCTTCATCTTACAATTTTTTTTCTTTTCAAATTTTGTTATCAATACCTAAAAATTGTTTCCTTTAAATTTTGCAGATGCAAAATAAGTTTTACGAGCTTAATTGATGGACAGACAAACGGAGAACCATGCCGGCTATGTAAGGCCTAAATCGGGCTAAATACAACCAAGCCATCCATCCATAATCATTAGTCGTCACTTTTCTTATTAATAAATCAAATCTTTTCCTCCTCTTAAGAAGAGGTCTAATTACTGCCTTTTTTATTTGTTAATGACCACCTCACTCTTTCAGTGGCCGCGGAAGTTGTGGGGACATTGACATTGTAGGATAGGGGGAGGGACAGGTTTATATAAAAATGATGGGGACATCGAATAACCGTGGGGACATTGTCCCCCTATCCCCACCAACGCTTCCGCGGCCTCCTAACTCTGTAAGTAATTGATTATTGACCTAAACTGCCACCATCCGTGAAAGAAAACAGAAAAACAAACTCTTTGCTAAATATGGGCAAAATTTTTGGTGATTCGGTTTTATTTTTATTTATTTGCCACACTCTACTTTTTTAGCAGAGTTGTTGATTTAATCAATAAACTTTCGCTTGGCAATTTTCATGTGTTTTTTTCTTCTTTACTTTGTTTTGTTTAATGCGAGCTATTTAAGTACTTAAATACTTGCTACCGACTTTGACACATTGACACTTGAAAAGTTACAGGCAAGGAGGAGGAGATGAGATTAAAAGAAAATTAATGCCAGTGGTAAGTAAGTAGAAGCATACAAAAGTTTGATTTGATGCATCTTTTCATGATTACAAAGTGCAAGTCATCATCGTCGTCTTCAAAATTCAATGAGTCAAAATACAAGTATAAGTATTTTTTTCAGGGTTTGATAAAACGTAATAATCACACTTTGTGATTTAGGTGTGATTTTCACATCCTGTGATTTCTTAGCCAATTGTGATTTTTGTGATATTATTACTGAGGGAAAAGTGAGACAACTTGGTTAAAATGCAATCCTGGACAAACCCAATTAGATATTTGGATGGATTCAGCATGAAATTCTGAGAATTTTTATATCCGACCGATTTGGACACGACTGCATTTTTCATTTGATTTGTATCTTATTAAAGTTTGATGAAAGTTTGTCAAAAGAAACGCGGATGCATGAAAATGGTCAGAATTTCGTACTGAATTCGAGAATCTTAATCTTAAATTCGTAAAGTTGTCCCAGCTTTACTATATTATCACAGAACTCACAGAAATCCAAGAGTTTGCAAATTTCACATAATTCGCACAAATCGCAGATTTTACAGAAATCACACATGATTTTAACCACTTTCATGTCATTTTCCAAACCCTGATTATTTTTACAATGTTAAAAGGATGAGGATGCGATTTAAATTGAATGCACATATTGTACACGCATAGCAATGACATTGACATTGTCAGTTCAGTAGTAGCAATACAAATTTCTTAAATTCAATTTCCAGAGATTATTCTTATTTAAAAGGAGAGACCCAGATTTATTTTTAAAAAAGTAGGTGATTGGTTTAATGATAGCAAAATCAAATATCAATTTGATATCATTGTATCGCTCAATAAATAAATAAATAATGATTAATTACACATTTATTACAAGATTTTTTAACTTCTTTTTACTTTTGAGATGATCTCAATTTATTTAAAACTCCGCAAAAACTATCCAATTTCGATGTACATTATTGCTTCTTTTAAATAAATAATACGTGTAAAAGGCAGAGAATTAAGCTAAATGTGAATCCAATTAATAATTTTAAAACTATACATTCTCAATTTAAAGTAGAAAAAGGTAAGTGATTTACAGAAGAAACTGTTGATCTTAATCCGTCATTTATTTCCTACATGAGATCCTCGTCGTCGAACAAATCACCAAAATCTGCAATAAAAATAAAAACATAAATAGTTGATTCTCAATTAATTCTAATATTTCCTAATGTAACACTTCCGTGTACATAATGTTAATTATTTAAATTAAATTTAACACAGGACTCGATGATTAATCGCCAAAATTAACACATTTTTAATCATTTCTCTTTCGCCTCTGGGAATTAATTTTAAAATTCTGGAAGAACAAATTCCTAGACCAGGGAGTTGCTAATTTTTTAAAAATATACACTCCAGATTTTTACACTTTTTAAAGCAGGAGATCACAAGTTTAAGAAACTTTCAGAAAAATTGGAACTCGTCTAAACTGGCGTTAAAAAAACTCACCGCTTTTCTATTCATCAATCAATTCACTGAGTACAAATTAGTCGTCCAGAATTTTAAAATAAGTTCTCAGAGGAGAGAAATGATTAAATATGTGCTGATTTTGTTGAGTTTTTTCATCCAGTTTCAATGACTTCCAATTTTTCTGAAGGCTTCTTAAACTTGGGATCTCCTCACTTCAAAAAGTGTCAAAATCTGGAGTGTACATTTCTTAAAAGTTGGCAACTCCCTCCTCTACAAATTAGTTCTTCCAGAATTTTATAATAAATTCCCAGAGGCGAGAAATAATTAAAAATTTTGACTATTGAGGCATCAAATCCTACATTAAACTCATTTAAATTAATTGTTTCCCTTCTTATCCACTTAAAACTTACCATTGTGAAAATCCATATGGACCCCTTCTCTCGTAACGTCCACCATCATTCCACCTCCAGAACACTAAATATCAATTAAAATATTTAACTTTTAATTTTAAAATCGCTTCTCAAAGTCAAAATCAAAATCAAAATTTTTGCAAATCTTCCAAACCCACTCACATCCTCGTCCATATAGCCACCAACACCGTCCGGAAACATTTCGTCCGCTGCGGTCGATGGTTTCATTGCAAAATTCAAAATGTAACGATGTAATAAATTTCTTTGAAAACTTTTCCAAAAATTTAATTCAGAAACTTTAAATATTTTTCACTGGCAAGTTTACACAAAAATTTGTTCGCGGTATGACAAAACTGCAAAACCTGCACCCACAAAAAAACAGCCACTGCTGTCCAAAACCCTCAATCCATCTAAACCTACAAATACATTGGGAGGGTTTGGACACCTTGACTACTCCCATTGGATCCATCTCGTTACTAATTTTCAAGTTTATCTTAACAATTTTAGATACTTTTAATGCATAATTAGCCTCATCATGACTTGATTTATGGATTTGTATACCAGAATCTGATAGGTGGTATGAATATTGTGAAAACATCCTATAAACTAAAATAAACCGTCGCAAACGCGCATACGGAAGTAGCTTCAGACGTACTTCACCCCAAACGGTCCCACCACAACTCGGGAACACTTAATTTCACTCTATTTCACCTATAGATTAATTTTTTGTAAAAATCTCATTTTGCCCCGACCACACCCCCTGGCGACGAGGGGGTGTGGAACAACTCGGGAACACTTAATTTCACTCTATTTCATCTATAGATTAATTTTTTATAAAAATCTCATTTTGCCCCAACCACACCCCTGGCGCCTAGGGGGAGTGGCACAACTCCGGAACACATAATTTTACTCTATTTCACCTATAGATTAAATTGCACTAAAAATCTCATTTTGCCCCAACCACACCCGCTGGCGCCGAAGGGGTGCGGCAAAATCGGGGAAACACTCAATTTCACTTAATTTCACTTAATTTCACCTAATTTTACCCATAGATTAAATTGCACTAAAAATCTCATTTTGCCCCAACCACACCCCCTGGCGCCGAGGGGGTGTGGCACAACTCCGGAACACATAATTTTACTCTATTTCACCTATAGATTAAATTGCACTAAAAATCTCATTTTGCCCCGACCACACCCCCTGTCGCCAAAGGGGGTGTGGTCCGGTTGCCCCCAAAAGTTGATAGGATCCTCCCCCTGGGGTCCTATGTATGATGGCGAAAACCGATTTCGATTATCTCGATCCGTTCTCCTGATATCCTGCTGACAGACAGACGGACAGACAGACAGACAGACAGACAAAGTCTTCACATAAAGTAGCTGAAGCTACTTAATAAAGTTTGGAGAACTGAAAGAGGGAAAGAGTGTATTATAAATATGAAGGGCCGTCTAAATTATTTTGTATTTCTTCGGCACATAAAATTTTGCAAAAATCTTTACAAAATTTTAATTTTGTGAATTTTAATTAAAATTTTAATTTTAATTAAAATGAGTGTGGTCAAAAATTACAAAAATTTTTTTTAGTAGCTGATAACAATTCAACCTTTTTAATTAATTAAAGTAGACAACCATATAAAATAAGCTAAATCGTCGCCAAGCTTCAACATTTTCTCTCAGATTTTGCAATTCGCAATTTAACGCTTACTTACTTACTTAATTTTGCAAAAATTTTGCAAAAATTTTCAAAAAACTACTTTGATGCCTGTGCGTGATCAAAAATAAAATTGCAAAAAACTTTTCTCCTCTGAAAATAATTCATCTTTTTAATCAAACAATCTATATAATAATTTCAAAATAATCTTAATCGTCACTACACTTCAATATTCTCAAATTTTGCGATTCGCAATATTTATTGAATCCTTACAAACTTATCTTTGTAAAAATTTTGGCAAAACTTTTCATAAAATTTTGATAGTTAGTCAAAGATTATAAAAACTTTATATGTGGAACAATAATTATCTATTTAAACAAATAACGTACTCATCATATCAAAATAATTCTATCGTCACCAAACCTCCACAATTTCTCAGATTTTGAATTCAACCATATTTATTTAGTGTTCAATTACTTATCTTTGCAAAAACTATTGCAAAAACTTTGGCGAAATTACCATAAAAATTTTTATATCTGCGTGTGGCTAAAGAGTGCATAAAATAGTATCCCCCAATTATCTATTTAATTAAATAATTAATAATTAATTATATCAAAATAAGATCATTTCACAGTATTCATAAAATGCTTACTTACTAATCTTTGCAAAAACTTGGGCAAAAATTTCCGCAGAAATTTTGATGTCCTGAGTGTTGTCAAAGATTACAAACACTTTTGCCAGTTGAGAATAATTCATCTTTAAATTAAATAATGTACTAAATCATACCAAAATAAGCTCAACCGGCTGCAAACTTTGCATTTTCTTAGATTTTGCATTTTGTAATATTAAATGCTTACTTTATTTATCGTTGCAAAATATTTTGCAACAATTTTCAAAAAAACTTGAATGCCTGCACGTGTTAACCACTCTTTTCCTCTGAAAATAATTCATCTTTTTAATTAAATGACGTGCACACACAATCATCTCAAAATAAACTCAATTGTCACAAAACTCCTATATCTTTCTCAGATTTTGCATTTTCAACCGATTTTCAACCAAAGTCAAGAATGCAAAAACTTTAACACAACAGGCGATTATCTTTTAAATTAAATAATGTACTGCACAATCAAAATAAACTCAACCGTCACAAAACCTCCACAATTTCTCAGATTTTGCATTTCGCAATTATATATTAAATGCTTCCAAACACATTTCGCAAAAAATTTCATAAAATTTTGCCCCCTGAGTGTGATCAAACAGTGTAAAAACTTACATCACCCGAACATAATTATCTTTTTTAGAGACTAATTATGCCAAACTAATGTAAATCATTGGCAAACCTCCACATCAGATTTTGCATTTCGCAATATTTTTTAAATGCTTAATTACCTATTTTTGCATAAATTTTCGTAAGTTTTTGCATAAATTTTCACTAAATTTAGATGGCCAAAAGTGAAACATTACAAAAACTTAAAGTGCCGACAATGAACATCTTTTAGATTGAATAATGTACAAATCATGTCAAAATAAACTCAATCGTCGCTAAACTTCCACAATTTTCTCGGATTTTGCATTAATTTTTTTATTCATCTGAACAGAACGTTAAAAAATGCGACAGAAAGTTGCCAAATATATTTCGCAACAAATTTTCGTCATAGCATGGTCCAATAATTTCTTCTTGGACACTGCACAATTTTTAAGCATTTTTTTATATATTTTAGATACAAATTGCGATCAGCATTTTGCAAAAATCTTCTTTGTACATTGGCAATTGGAAAAGCGCATATTGTTTCATAATTACTTAAGTATTTCATACAATTTTTGAACACGACTAAAATCAGGTTAGTACATTTTTTGGTAATTTTTTTAAGCGACAATGTTCCAAGGATGAGGTAAAAAGCCAGAGCACCATGAAATTTTGATGGACGAAATCCGAATCTCGAAATTTTTAAATTCTTCAAATGGATTGTTAAACTTTCGCATTTTTCAGCAGCTTATAATAGAGGTGTCTCAGTGCATGCTCTCCGATTTTGGGCAAATTAGTGTCAATCGGGCACAAATTTAGTTAGGATGAAATTTGCGAAAGACACGACCTCCCAATGGCCACGTTTGGCCGAGATATTTGCATCCAAAGAGGAGAAAACGCCCAGTAAATGAAGAAAGTGTAAAATTTGTTGACTTTAGGACGAGTTTTTTTCCTATTCGGATGCAAATATCTCGGCCAAATGTGCCCATTCGGAGATCGTGTTTTTCTGCTAATTTCATACCAATTAAAGTTCTGATCGATTGATACTAATTTCGTCAAAATCAGAGAGCATACGGTGGGACACCTCCGTTCTTAGAATGATGCTGTCGAGTTGTAAAATTTTCAAGATTGAGGTAAAAGCCATTTTGGAAACTTTTTTATGGACGAAATCTATACCCAAATTTTCAATTTCAGACCTGCTAAATTATTCCATCGCATTTACCACTTTTCGAAGATGTTATATGTAAAACCCAGCATCATTTCGTACTGATTTTGGAAATTTTTATGTTCAAAACCTACCCGAAATATTTTCAAATTTTCCAACTTTTCAAACCTCCGAAATCGTCCCATCACTCCTAGCACAACTCGCTAAACTGTACAAACTACCATTTTTACTACTACTTTTCCCCCCATTTGTTGACCCCTCTAACAACAACTTATAATAATTGACCCCGTTCTTATCCGCGTTAAATTGTCGCTTATCCGCCCCACCAGCAGCACCTGCAGTCTTGAGCTTTTCCGAACGATACGCCTCCACCAAACTGGAATTTGGGGGCGGATCGTGGACAAAATTGGCATTATTTTCAGAATTTTCGATCAGATTGATGAGCTTCTCGACCCCCGCGAGGTAAACCAGCACGAGGACGATGACGAGACCCAACTTCACCGTTTTCAGTTCCAAATCTCGAACACTTTGTTTATGAAGACGGTCCAGGATCCAGAGAAAGCTGGTCAGGAACATTAATCCCAGCGTGATCAGGGACACGAGAAATCGACTCGGCCACTTCAACAGGCAGATGGATCTCTGCGCAGGGAACATATTTCAGAAATTTATTTCGAAATTTCCATATTTTCAGAAGGCGGATATGTATTTATGATCAACTTTTTCATTTTTGAGGACGACAGACTGTCAAACTTCGTCGGTAACTTACAAGGGTAACACAAATTTCAAAATATTTATATTTTCACATGTTGCAACATATTTCTAAATTTTCAGAAAGTTAAAAATTTCCGATATTAGGTATTTCAAAATTACGGAAATCATTCACACCTTTTTTCAAAATCCATACATATATTTTGTAAATATTCAACGTCATAAAGCGAAATTTGGTTCGTTAATTGTAGCAAAAAATTCCAAAGTATTAAACTCAAAAAATTTTACAGATTGTACAAATTTTTCGAAGATTATTATTTTTTTTACATATTTCGTAAATATTTTTCATAAATACATATCCGCCATTTACATTATATTTTCCTACCCGTTGCACCCCCGCAAAAACGAGGCATCCAAGAAAAGTCAGGATCAGAAAATATACGCATCTTCCAAAATGTATCGTTCTCTAAAAATTCACAAAAATTCACAAGTTTCCAATAAAATTAAGTTTTTTTAAAAAAATTTTGTTCATTCAACTCACAGTTTTCTCATCACTTTCGAAATCCAAGTATACAAAAAAGTATTGGACAAAGAGTAGAGCAACGATAGCCTGAAAGAAAAATGTACTAATTAATTGTTCAGATACACTCAAAATAAGGTAGTAATGAATCATTACCATGCGGAATGACTATGTGACTCTACCACGTCGGTTACGATTTGTCCTAGAAATGGTAATAATAAGTTCAGGGAAATTCAAATTTAATACATAATGGGATTCACTTCCTTAATATTTGGTAATGAATTTGAATTTCCCTGAACTTATTGTTACCATTTCTACGACAAATCGTAACCAACGTGGTAGAGCCACATAGTCATTCCGCATGGTAATGATTCATTACTACCTTATTTTGAGTGTAATTAATAAATTCCCAAAAACCTTACCGTAACGAAGAACGTGAAGAAACACACGAAATCAAAAATATCAAAACAGCCACACATTTCTTCTTATTTAAAAAAACTTAACTAAATTACCACTCTTCGGCCTTGTTACAAAGTTGACAACATTTTCAGACTTTCTTTAGTCGCAGAAAAAAACTGCAAGTTTTCGCTGATTGTCGCTGATTTATTTATGGAGGGACTGGTCCTGCTTAAAGAAAAAGCGTCTATATTACACAAGATGCAAAATTAGAGTGAGAGAAAGTCGGGAGAAAGTTGCTCATCTTCAATCTTCCAGCTGCATTGGATCGCAGGAAAACATTCCATTTTGGGATGGTTTACATATATCAAAATATTTGCAAATTTGCCAAAAAAATGTGCGAATATTTCTCATCGAGTCAAATTTTATTTCAAACTCAGGCTCACGCCCAAAAAAATTTAAAAATACTCAAATTTCCGTAAAAACCCTTAATTTATACATCATTTCAAGATAAAACGTGTGAATATTTCACATTTTAAGTCAATAAATTTCTCATTTTTATTTTAACCTCAAACTTTCACTTCAAAAATTCAAAATTTCCTTCAGAAATATTCACACAATTTGTGCACCAACATTTCCAACGGACCAAACTTTCTCTTGGCTCTTGGTGCAGATTATTTATCATGCTCCATTATTTCGGAGAAAGCTCACTTTCCCCAAAACCCAGCAGCCAGCCAGCCAGGCACTTCTGGTGATCGCAATCTCCGTGATAAAATTCCACACGACTGGTCTCTGCCAAATATGCAGAACCTGACGAGACAGCCAAGTAGACAAACTTTATTTACTCCACGTGGCTGACCCTGCCTGCAGAGGAGATGTCACACGAAAAAATTGGCACGAACCAACGACACTTGTATTTCCGCTCGAATTAACGTCACTCTCAGAGTGACGCACCTGAAGAGAAAGTTTGCATTGTGTCGACACCGTGACCTTTCACCTACAAAAAATCTAGTACGATACATGGTAAAAATTGGAACAGCATTCTTGCAGAAATTTGGCTCAATTTTTGCAAAATTTTTTTTAGCTAGTTGTGCAGAATTATTCGCATACGGTTCTGAAGAATATAACACAGAAAATTTCGGCATGATTATGCAAAAAAAGCAATTATATAAAATATTTACGATATGCTTTTGTAAATTACTGCATAATAATGATTTCTGCATTCTCCAAGGGACACAGTTCTTTTAAAATTTCGCTTAATATGACATCCATTTATGTGTAATCTCATCCTTTTCCTATTTATTACATACATAATTTACTCATTTACATCAATTCCACACACCTCGCATACATAATTTATGCAAAGTACATACATACATACATATTTTACCCTCAAAAAATTACAATACTGACAGAGACAATTAATACTTCTACTTGTAAATAAACTAAAACTAACCCCCCACAAAAATCCCCCCCAAAAAAAACAGAGTATACACACATTTCCACCAAACCCATCAGTCAATAATTAAACTAACCCCATCCCCCCACTAAAAAATCCCCCTCCCGAGTATATTTCCACCTCAGTCAATTCACATTTACACCCGGGTCGTAACCCCTCCCCTCCCCCTCCCCCTCCTCCCAGTAGCTCAATCCCCTCCGAAATCGAGAACTCCACATTGTAACAGGGATTCGCAAAGGAACTTTTATTATTCATGTCATCACTTCGGATGGTCACGTGGTGACTCGTCTGCTGTCCACCGGAAATGATGGTGGTCACCCCTCCGGCCTTCTTGGATGAGCAAAGTGTCCTGGTCGCGATGGCGAAAATGTAGCAGATCGCGACGGTGAGCGTGACCAGGGCGGAAACTTGGACGCAATACGAGAAGATTTTCCCGTTCAGGAAGTTGACAATCCAAGGAGAGTACACCCGGTCGATCGTACAGAGCAGCATCGTTATGATGGCGAGGAGGATGAGGAGCACGATAAGCAAGGCTTTTCCGGGCTTATCGGAGGAGGAGGGGTGTGGGTGCGGGTGTGGATGGAGGTGTTCGGCTCGCTAAAATGAAAAAAAGTGGCAAACTTTGTGTAAGTTTCGCAATTATTTTTGCACATTAAGTATTATGCATAATGTAGATACTTAAGGAATTAAATTTTGCATAAAGTTCGCAATTATTTTTGCATATAATACCCGAGGAATCACGGTGGAAATGGTGCACCCGAAGTAGACCACGGTCCAAAGGAGGAAATAGAAGGATAAGAGAAAGTAGATCGATTTCTGGGAGAAAAAATTTCATAATTTTGATACCACGTGATTAAATTATAATCTCCGATTTATATTTATTATATATAAATTTTATTTATAAATATAACTCACAATGGATGTCTCACAGCGTACGCTCTCCGATTTTGAGCAATTTAGTGTCGATCGATCACTACTTTAATTAGTATGGAATTTACAAAAAACGCGAATGGGCACGTTTAACAGAGATATTTACATCCAAAAGGAGGACAAAACGCGCAGTAAATTTAATTTGAAAGGTGTAAAAATTGTCAACTTTGGGACGTGTTTTCTCCTCTCGGGATGCAAATATCTCATTTGAAGATCGTGTCTTTTCAAAATTCCGTACTAATTAAAGTAGTGATCGATTGACTTTGCTCAAAATCGGATCGCATACGCTGGGAGACTTCATAATTATCTACTTACCGTCGTGCTGTAATCTTGCAAATCATTGGGCACGATGGGTGGAGAGTGGTTATTTTTTAGAAAGTGGATAAAACACATGATAAACAGAAGGGTGAACAGCGTCTATATAGAAATCAATATGCAAATTTGTAATATGTAAATATGTAGCTTTATAAACCTTGTACTGCTCAGTTTGTTATCCAAATGATGCGCAATTACATTTGCCGAATGTTAAGCAAAAATTTGCATAAAAATTTCGTAATTGCGTAATTCATCAAACGTACGTAAGTATCAAACGTAATTTTATGTATTAATTTATAAATTTCGTAATTATGCAATTTTTGCATACAAATTTCATAATTCATCAAACGTACATAAGTATCAAACGTAATTTTATTGATTATTTTATAAATTTCGTAATTATGCAATTTTTGGGTAAAAATTTCGACACATGATTGAGTGATTTTTACGCCAAAATAAAAATAAACTGGTGTTAATGTAACTCAGAATAATTCAGGTACTCGATCCATTGGAAATTTTATAGCAAATAGTGCAGTAATATCTAATTTTGTAATTTTGCATCCGTGTTTTTTTCTTATCTCAAAATTTCAAAATTTCAAAAAATTTTTCTTACCGTAAGAAAAAGAACCATCAGCCATAGCACCACGGTACGAAATTTACTCCGAATGGCGGCCCCATCCCCGCAACAAAAGTTACACTTTTTTACATTCATATTTTTTATTTAATTAATTAATCTCTCACTAATTTCCTGCTCAGTATACACGTGTGAAGACCTAATTTTTGACCCTTTGACCCCAAAGTTTTGTATACTTTAAGGCCTCATAGATTTTATATTTGCTCAGTTATCAGCAGTGAAATGTAGCCTAAATTAATGGACTCATTACATATTAAATCCAATGATTTGATCGAGAAACAATGCAAAATTCTACATATGCAAAATTCCCCAAAGTTCCCCAAATCTTCCCAAAATTCCCAAAATTAATTTAACCCTTTCACCGTTTTACATGTAACGTCATGACCTAGTGACTCGAGAAATATGACCTTTTCGTCCACCTCCACATTGACACATGCCAATTAATCACTCATATTTGCATAAATTAATTGCAATTATTCTCATTAAATTAATAGCAGTGCTGGAAGAGTATCAGAATATTGATATTTAGCAGAAGCGTTTAACATTAATTGTCAGTCGAGGTCGTCCGGACTAAAAGCCTAATTACTGCAGTAAAAACTCCTTAATATCCATAAATCTCAGCAAGTTTCCTTTAATAAACTCTTCTACATAATTTCACTTAAGTGTAATTATACGTATTATGCAAATTAGCCGATTATTACTATTTTAGAGTCAACTTTCTCCAGTAAACTCTGCACTTTCACCCAAATCAACTTTCCCTAGCTGCGGAAAACGTAAAAATCTCAATAAGTTTCATAAATAATAAGAATGAACTCTTCTCATTTCGCTTAAATGATAATTATTATACAAATTAGCGGATTATTGGTATTTTCCAAACAACTTTCTCCAGCCGTTCGATGAGTATACAATTCGATTTTATGCACACTTTCACCCAAATCAGCTTTCCCCCACGTACACAAAACTACAACTGCACGTCGTACACACCAAGACTAGACTGAAGGATCCGGGTTTGGCTCCGATTTTTCGGAGAGAAAATTCCCCACTCATTCATACCGGGAACATTCATCAATTCAGAAATTTACAAAACTTATATTCCCCTCAATTAAAAAAAATTCAATAATTCCTTCACAAAAATTTCAGAAATTTCCCCACAACTTTCTCTTTCCGTAATTGTGTAACCCGAACATTCAGACATACAGAAATTTACAAAATTATATTCCCCTCAATTACAAAAAATATGTTCTCAAAAATACTACAATTTTTTTCAAAAATTCCAAAATTTCTTCCCAAAAATACACACTTTCTCATCCCGTAATTTTGCAACCCTTCCAAAAAATCAAACTTTCTCTAGCATTCGTGGTGTAGCATTGCCGTCAAAATTCCGCGTGTTCGTCTCGTGCGAATTTTCCGCAGTGGTGAAAGTTACAAGATTGCATCTTTCCTATTACCAAGGCCGGAAACGAGGCACACTTTATGTATGCAAGGCACGACTATTTTTAGAAAAATCATTTCGTTAATTTTTAGTAATTAAAAGTGTGAATGTCACACATGGTAAGAAGGAATAAACCGTAAACTTTCCACTCTCAAGGTAAAAACCTAATAAGGGACGTCGACCAGCGGATGCTCTCCAATTTTTGGCAAACTAGTATCAATTGAGGGCTAATTTAATTCGTGCACTCTAAATAAATTTGATTAAAATTTACTCAATTTTGAGTAAAATTGCCACTAAAGCAACTATTGAGTAAAATTTACCCTGAGAAAGGTAAAATTTCCTCAAGGTTGAAAGATTTTTGCTCAACCTTGAGTAAATTTTACCTTTGTCAGGGTAAATTTTACTCAATAGTTCCTTTGGTGGCAATTTTACTCTGGTGTCAATTTTACTTTGGTGGCAAAGACGCGACCTCCTAATGGACACGTTTGGCAGAGATATTTGCATCCGAAGAAGAGAAAAGTTCACAAATGTTTAACTTCCAAGTTTACCATGGGAGATCCAAGGAATAGGACATCTAATCATGTTTTATTAACTTTATTTGTTTTCAATATTTTTTTCTGACATTGAAATATTACAATTTTACACTTTCCAAATATGAAATATGAATAAAAAGAACTTAGAGTGGAAGTCTCCCACCCAGCGCATGTTCTCGGATTATGAGCAAATGAGTGTCAAAAAATTTAATTAGGATGAAATTTGCGAAAGATACGATCTCCCAATGGGCACGTTTGGTAGGGATACTTGCATACGAAGAGGAAAAAACGAGTTCTAAAGTTGACACACGTTAAATAAATTTGATTAAAATTTACTCAAGGTTGAGTAAAATTTGCGATGACATAACTGTTTGTGTAAAATTTACCAAATCAAAGTTAAAATTGATCCAACGTTGTAGAAATTTCGCACAACCTTGAGTAAATTTTTCTTTTGTTGAGTAAATTTTGCACAATCAGTTGTGTCGTCGCAAATTTTACTCAACTTTATTTAGAGTGTACATTTTGCACTTTCCAAATTTACTAGGCGTTTTCTCCTCTTTGCATGCAAATATCTGCGCCAAACGTGTCCATCGGGGAATCATGTCTTTCGCATATTCGTACTAATTAAATTTGTGATCGATTCACACTAATTTTCTCAAAATCGGAGAGCATCCGCTGGGAGACCTCCATTCAAGTTCTTTTTATTCATATTTCAAATTTGGAAAGTGTAAAATTGTTATATTTTAATGTCAGAAAAAAATATTGAAAACAAATAAAGTTGATGAAACATGACCAGATATTGTCGTCGCTTGGATTTAAACTTGGAAAGTTAAAAATTTGTGTGTTTTTCTCCTCTTTGGATGCAAATATTTCGGCCAAACGTGCCCATTGGAAGATCGTGTCTTTCGCAAATTTCGCCTTAATTAAATTTGTCATCGATTGGCACGAATTTCCTCAAAATCCGAGAGCATACACTGGAACACCTCCATTGTAAATACATTTTGTGAGTAATTTCTCGCCCTCCAGACGGAGAGAGAAAGTTGGCGAAAAAGCAATCACGAAATCTCCATTTCCATTTTTTTGCACGGCATAACTGCACCATTTTTGGGTCGAGTCCACACACTCGTAATCAGAATAATATGTACGAATGCAGTCCAATTTTATTGATTACTGGGCAGAAGAATAATCCCACTTTTGCTGACGGGCTGGATTTTATTTACTTTCCCTCTTTGTTATCACAATTCTCGCTTATCTTTCTCCTCTCGGCCAGAAAAACAATATTAATCTTATGTAACATACATTTGTATTTTGGCTAAACGTAACCATTTTTTAGACCAAAATTGAGCCGTATAATTAAGCATAAAATTTATGAACAAGTTACAAATCACTGAAATTACGGGGAGCACGATATTGTACAATTATACGCTAAAAAAATAGCCAGTTTACGTAATTCAAGGTGAAACTAAAACGTTACACAAGTAAGAAAATTAACAAACATAGTACTGAAACAATACTTAAGAAATACTACTTTAAGGTGCTATATGATGACGTGTTGGTGCGTCACAGATTTTTAATCTCATTCTACCCCGATTAAATCTCTTTAAATACAAATTTATAAAATAGCATCAATTTCGCAAGTTTTGAGGTAAATGAAATGTTTCATACTTAATTTAGATAATATGTAAACTAAGTTTTGTATATTATAAACTATCAATTTGAAAAAAATACTAAACTCATTTTTGAGAAAATTTATTGCGAACAAATGTCAAATCAAGTAACAATTTTTTTCAAATCGATAGTTTTGTAGTATCAAAAATTAACTTGAACTTGTAATTTCATAAATATTTTAGAATAAAATAAAAAGTGCAACATTTTGGTAAACTTTGCTGCCACAGAATAGTTTTTGTAAAGTCGTGCAATACTTTTTTACAAGTTGTATAGGTAAATTGGGTGTACAATCGGAATTACAAATTGTTTTTAACATGTCATCGGTTTGATGTGCATACATTTTTAATTTCACTCTACCTTTGTTTAATCTCTTTAAATGCAAATTTCTAAAATGGCATCAATATCTCGAGTTTTCAGATTAATGTAACTTTCCATTCAAATTTCTTCATTTTTGGTAATGTCAAACTATTAATTCGAAAAAAATGCTTAAGTTTAATTCATTTTATTATATTACGAAAATTTATTCCGAAAAAATGGCAAATGAAGTAGCAATTTTTTCAAATCGGTAGTTTTGTAGTATAAAAAATTATCAAGGGAATATCAAGAATTAAAATTTTCGCAATTTTTAACATAAAAACCTACAGTGCAGACTCCCTATAGCCCGAGTCAGGGACATAGTCCCTGACTCAATAAGTCAGAGCCCGCTTCTAAATTCTTTTCCGAACTGACCGACATAATATCACCAACTTCCGTGTTGTGGATGGTTAAAAGTTTGTTAGATAGTTTCTATTATTTGGTACCAAATTTTTGAATTAGTTACAAATCATGTGCCTTGACCACCATGACCAGTGGCTTCTTTAACAACCTGAAGTTCTAAGCTGTATGTATGTGCTATTCAGCCTCCAAATCAAATTTCAGCTCGATATAACGATTTTTAAAAATCAGTATGGGTCACCCCATACTGATTGCACTCTGGTCACTTTGGTCTGGTTGCACTTTGTTCACTTTTAACTTCATATTCTTTAATTAGCAGTCATTAAGTATCATTGTGCCGGATTTCATCTTTTTAAAACAATTTCTAAAAATCGGTATGGGTCACCCCATAGGGTCACTCATGATGAAAATTTTTCCAACCTGAAGTTATTTTTTTCTATTAGGAGCCATTAGCAACCTCTGTACCAAATTTCAGCTCTCTACAACAATTTTGAAATTTTGGTGCATAAGACCCCACCCACTCCGATGACCCCCACCGGTCAACCACTGGACCGATTTGGCCCATCTTCGAACTCGTTTCCTAACTTTGTCCAATATGCATATGGTAAAAATTTCAAGTCAATCGGTTCAGCCGTTTTGGCTCTATCGTGCCGGACAGACAGACGGACAGACAGACAGACAGACGGACGGACATGACGGTTCCATAAGCCCTGACTCGGGCTAAAAATTGATGTGTATACATTTTTAGTCTCGCTTTTTTGCCCCTGTTCAATCTCTTTAAATGCAAATTTCTAAAATGGCATCAAGTTCATGAGTTTTCAGATCAATGTAACTTTTCACATTTTAATATAAAACTAATTATTTATAGTACAAAACTATCGTTTCGAACAAACTTATCTCATTCAGAAAATTTATTGCGGAAAAATTGCAAATGAATTTTTCTCAAATCCATAGTTTTGTAGTAGCAAAAATTAACTCTACAAAATATCATATGAAAAGTTGAAAATTTGTCTCAAAGTTTTCAAAATTTATATCCTTTAGCAATTTCCATTTAAAAACATTGAAGAAATTGAGATTTAAAATCTATCCCACATAAAATCCTCGTCCTATAGCACCTTAACGCAAAAAAAACACACTATGCACATATTCACAACCCTGAGAACCAGATCTCAATCTCAATTTGCCTCCTTCTCCTCCGTCTCCTCAACCACATCCTAAAGAGAGACCAAAGGTCTTAAATCTTGCCAAAAACAGGCACGTGTAAATTAGACAAGTCTCACAAACAATTCACGACTCATGAATTTTGAATGATTTGCGAATCTCTCTCCTGAATTGCATAGCATGAAAACACCACCACGTTTATTTTGTTACAACAAATTTAGCTCGCACAATTTACATTTGTTTGCTTTCTGCTGGGATTTACTGTACTTGCGTTCCAGATTTGTCTCTGTGTTGCGTTGCTTCCCATCGTCTCAACATTTTCGGATTTTCTATGAAATGTAGAGGAAAGAAAGCTCGACATGCATTATTTTGCAGATGAGATGAGATGACTGACGCGTTGGACACATTTTTGACACGAGGATGAGAAGGGATTTCATTCAAACGTCCACTTTTTGGGGAGGACTGGACAGGTCACCTCATTTTTTCAGATTTACATACATCAGACCTGAAACAAAACGGAGAGACAGCAACTTTAAAAATTGAGACGGTTCGTTCGACTGAGGAGAACAAAGAAATACTGCAAATTTAGTTATGTATATCAGCGAATTTATGCCCCTCGAACTGGACGCTGTTTATTTCTGGGTTTACTTCATCACTAATAAATCATGCATAAATAAACAATGGCCGAGGAAGCTGGAGTGGACAATTTCCCCACGGTTGTTCGTCGTCTGTCCATGTTATATAAACCCTTCCCTCCCATATCCTACAATTTTAACGTCCCCAGATATCCCACAGTTTCCGCCGCCACTGTACACAAACCGTGCGAATCCCACCACGACCACAAACCAGCTTACGTAAAAACATGTCTATTTCATCCGTAATCAAATTGCGGGTTGAAATGACCCGAACGGAATAAATTTGCCACATTTCTCCTCGCCTTACCATTGCTCACTTGCTTTCTCCTCCTCCAGGTTGTACTTTCTCTCCGGCACCGTCATCCCAGTTTTCTACGGATGTCTCCTCCAGCCCGTTATTCCTCTGCACAAATTCATGCACCATCAAGACCATACTTATTTTGAAAAATATGCAATTTATGTACATACCTTTTCTGTAGAAGATCCATCAAATTTAGGTTTGTCCATTGTCCCAACATCGGTCCGATTTCCGCATCGAAGCGATGGCATGCATTTCCTCACGGTATCTGTCGTCTTGATAAATGCGTGATGAATCCAAGTGAACACATTTCTCAGGCTTTTTCTCCCCGTCTTCCAAAAAAAATCATTTTACAAATGCATCATTAACGTGACTCATCGTTAAAATCAGTACATTTTTAATCTCGCCTCTGGGAATTTATTTTAAAATTCTGGACGACTAATTGGTCGTTGTAAATTAAAAAAAATACACCCCAGATTTTTCCACTTTTTGAAGGAGGACATCTCAAGTTTAGGAAGCCTTCAGAAAAATTGGAACTCGTCGAAACTGGCGAAAAAAACTCAACGCTATTCCATTAATCAACTCACCGAAGGTAGGTAAATTTGTCGTCCAGAATTTTAAAATAAATTCCCAGACGGGAGAAATGATTTAAAATGCGCTGATTTTGACGAGCAGTCATGCAGTTGTAGTCCAAAATACATCTGAACGTAGAATTTATAAGTATTTCTAGCCCAGCCATATTTTTACTCACTTCTTTCCCCGCATTGTCTCCAAACTTCATCTTATCACCGTCGTCTCCCGGGGGATAAGTTTCTACATAAGCTACGACGTTCTCCTGCTCTTCCCCATTTTGAGGGGACGGGGTCCTCATTACGTCACCTTCGTCATCATCGTCCATACTCTTCTCTTTTGAGAATAACAACGGTTTTGATTCCTCCTCTTCCATCTCACTTTGTCGGATTTGTTCGCTGAATGGGTCGAGATGGCCTTCTTGAACCCAGGGATGGGACCACAAAGCATGGAGAGAAGGTCGCAAGCTGACATTTGGCTGCAGCATGAGATCAATCAAATCTTTGGCATTTTCCGATACCCAATCCGGAGTTTTGTAGGTGCCCTCCTACACACACCAAAAAACATAAAATTGTGAATCATAATGGAGGTTTCCCAGCGTATGCGATTCGATTTTTGAGCAAATTAGTGTGAATCGATGGCAAATTTGATTAGGATGAAATTTGGGAAAGCCATGATCTCCCAATGGCACGTTTGGCAGAGATATTTGCATCTGAAGAGGAGAAAACGCACCTAAAAGTCGACAGATTTTACACTTTGCAAATTTACTGCGCGTTTTCTCCTCTTCGGATGCAAATATCTCGACCAAACGTGCCCATTGGGAGATCGTATCTTTCGCAAATTTTATACTAATACTAATTTTATACTAACTTTAAAAAAAATTTATACTAATTAAATTTCTGACACATTGACACGAGTTTCCTCAAAATCGGAGAACATCCGCTGGGAGACTTCCATCGTCAGTCAGTGTACATTTTTTTATGGTAAATTATTCTCCTCACTTTGATCTTTTGGTAGAGAGTCTTCACGTTTTTGGAGTAAAATGGGAGCTCCTTGGCCACCAGGACGAAAAGCATGATGCCAAGAGACCAAACGTCCACCTTGCTTCCGATGTAGGGTGGCTCTCTTAATAATTCTGGGGCACAGTAGGCCGGACTTCCTGGAAATATTATGTAAACTTATGTAATATTATGTAAATCTGCGTCCCTTGACCAGAATGTAACGCAGAGGTCGGCGCCAGTATTTTTTTCTAACGCGTCAATAAATCAGAGACGTCCTAAGAATCACCTATTTTTGCTGTATTTATATCTAACTTTGTGCCAAAAATTGATCGGCGTCGACCTCTGACGCGAAAATTATATGTAAATGATCAAATACCACATAAAGTTGATAAGGTTGCCTTATTAATCCCGGTTTTACCGGGGACCGCACACAGCCCAAAGTCGGCCAATTTCACGTCCATTTTTCCATCCAGGAGGACATTCTCCTAAAAAAAAAATTGGTGTCATTTTAATAATTTGTAAATTTTGTATTTGCAAATTTTGTATTTACAAATTTTGTATCTGCAAATTCTGTTAGCCTCAAAATTATTGAATTACCGGTTTCAAATCTCGATGTACAATCCCGTTCGAGTGGAGGTACGCGACGGCGGCGATGAGTTGGATAAAGATTCGACGCGATTCATCCAACGGCAAAATGTCGTCTTGTTTCACTGAAAAATTATTGTAAGTTTTCCGAGGAAATTGTGTACCCGTTTTTCTTGACAAGTTTTCAGAAAATTCTCAATTTTTTTTACCGATATGTTCGTACAGGTCGGTCGGGCAGTACTCCATGATCATAAAGATGTTAATTTTAGAGACGAAAACGCTATAAAGTTTGCAAATGTGGGGATGTCTGAGAGGCTGATGGGTCTCCATCTCCAAATCGATTCGATGCAACTCTGACTACAGGAAAAGAAATTATTTGACAAAAATGAACAATGATAAGGTGACGAAAAGTTCAACTTGTGCAAAATTCAGCGATCTTGTCGCAAATTCGCGAAAACGTTTGGTTTTCAAGCGGAATCTGTGCCTTGCAACAGCAGCTCAGCCTTTTCTCGCATTTATTCCTCGAGAAAACCGAGCGTTTTCGCGAACTTGCGGCGCCACAAGTTCGCAGAATTTTGCGTAGCTAATCTAAAAATAATCTGGTTTGCGCCCCAAAATTTCTGAGTTAATATTTTTAAACGGTTAGTTTTTTCTCTATTTTTTTCTCACCCCGACTTTTTCCTTGTTCACAATTTTAATCGCGACTTTCCCCCCGGTGAATAAATCCGTGGCGACTTTGACCTTCGAGAAGCCACCGTGTCCTATCGTCTCGTGCAGTTTGAACAAGTTGTCCAATTCCGGATATTTCGCATTCCCTGGGGAGATATCCACCTCAGAAGAAACCACGTTTTGAATTGGGGCGTTTTCTGTGAGATCTTCCCAAAGTTCGATCCAGTGATCGGTCGAAGATGTCCAGGGGGCCCCGATTTTGGGGGAGGTGGACGACGACCCATCCCCCGTGGCAGATGCGGATGCGTCCCCCGTACCTGTCCCCGCATTTTCTGCCCCCATGTTTACCCTGATTTCTGCCGCGTCCCCATTTTCCGCTGCCATATTTATCTTGATTTTATCCCCTTAAACAACCCTGGACACAAAAATTGGGGATGAAGTTATCGACATAATTCCGCCCTAAATGATGATAAGCACTTACCAGTTTTTATTATACGATTTACATACACGCTTCTTCATCCTCGCGAAGAGATACACTTTCACCAAAGATAACAACAAAGTTGTTCTGGTAACTTGTAAAAAAGTACGGATTTTCTTTCGCCAATTTTTTCCTACGTCATGTGACAACACGGTCTTCTAAACAATTTCAGTCAAGGCTTATGTACCCGGCATGAAATGAATGATTGTCCGTCTGTCTGTGTATCGATGACGCTGGCAAAACTTAATTATCCAATCGCTTAGAAATTTTGGGCACACGTGCAACATGCAAAATTATTGGAAGATGAAAAACATGTGTGAAAAAATAGATAACCCAGGGCTTATGTACGCGTCATGGTTATCTGTCTGTCTATCTATCGGTTACACCTGTAAAAGTTATCAAATCTCCTTGAAACTTTAGACACATGTGGAACATGCAAAATTAGGAAATATGTTGAAAGACGAGCAAAATATGTGCAAAATATGTTCAAAATTGGAAAATGTTCCCTTAATCGTTTTATACCCACCTCAATTTTTAGTAACACTCTGACTCGGGCTATTTAAATAAGGTTGCACTCCAGATTTTTTTACCTGCTCACTATGTAAGACGTGTTCTTACTTGATGCATGCAAATTTAGCCCACAAACAATCAACCTCCTCCATTCTTCCGAAATACTAACCATATGCAAATACGAAATATATACACACCTAATTATTATGATGTTAATGTTTACAAAATAACAAACAATTCCGGAAATATACGAACAAAATATTACTTTTATTCAGCTACTACATGATTTGACTGCGCTTTTACATAGTTGTTTTTGTTGTTGTTAAATAACCATTTTCCTTGGTATTGTATTGTACCCTTCTTGTGTATATTAATTAATTAACATATTGAGGTGCATCATCCAGTTGCATACACGTACATATTTTTTAAACAAAGTTGAACCACTACTACTTGCTGAATATCACTACAAAATGACATCAAAAATACTACTTTTTCCACTATTTTATGAACGCTAAAAAGATCTAATTGTTTTTTCGCAAGGTATTTATAGAATCCTAAAAAGTAAAAAGTCTTCTTCCCATCAGATTCAGAGACGCGAGAGAAATCATAAACTGGAATGTACCGTTTTCTTTTCTTGAGTAGTTTAGTTAGGTTTTTAGCGTAAAAATGTTTCAATTCTTGCCACAAATTAATCTCCATTTTAACAATCTAATTTAACCAATCAAACAAGATATCATTTTACATAGATCGATCAACGACTAGAGCACGATAGCTACGTACATATTTAATTTAATTTATATCGTGTAATAATTTACACGATCAATTCTACAATATATTTTTTTCTCTATCACAAATTTGTATTGGATTGAATTTTTTAGTAGTATTTTTCTCCTGCGTTTCATTACACATTTTGGAATACATATTTATCGCACCAGAAGAGTTATGTAAAAGGTGCTTATCTGGATTGGATATGAGCAAAAAGCACACCTTTTTTCTCATTTTCATTTAAAGGGAAGGAAAAACTTTGACTAAAATAAGTTTGACTTGTTTTAAAAGAGTAATTATAATAATTTCTTATTTCTTCACTTATTATACGACGATAAAGACGACAAGAACAAATTAGGACCAGTTTGGATTGGAAAGATTCTTGATTTTAAAGTTTTGCTTGTTCCACCATGTCGATATCCACTTTGTAATAAACGTATGGGAAATATTCACTCTGACCGAACACAAGACCTGGCATATCCATCTGGAAGGAATAAAAATAAGTTAATTAATAGAATAGTTAATTAATTAATGTAGGACTCAATGACTCATCATCAAAATCAGTCAGCAAATTTCTAATCAATTCTGGGCTACGGGAATTTATTTTAAAATTCTGGACCACAAATTTATAATCATTAAATTGATTAATCGAATGGCGGTTGGTTTTTTGAGTCAGTTTCGACGAGTTCCAATTTTTCTGAAGGCTTCTTAACCTTGAGATCTCCTCCTTCAAAAAGTGTAAAAATCTGGAGTGTATGTATATATTTTTAAAAAATTGGCAACTTCCTGCTCTACAATTTGTTGTCCAGAATTTTAAAATGAATTCCGAGAGAAGAGAAATGATAAAAAATTTGTTAATTTTAACGATTTTGGTGATGAGAGTCATCTATTCATACATTAATAAAGACCTAATTCTTATTTTGACATACATCGGAATATTTGGATCCAGACCCGACACTGGAATCTAAATGCTGGTACAAATTATTCAAAACTTCTCGCAATCGTTTTATAGATTTCTTGTTTGGAAACATGAGGACAGCTTGGAAATTGACGGGGAGGCCGTATCTAGATAGACATTTGGGTATTTAAATTTTGCCAAGTTTCGATAACCGATACATATCAATCATTTATCAAAACCTACCTCAACACGGACTCGACGAATACACGGAGTGCTTTCACATGCATCCAGGCGGTGAAACATTCGCTAAAGTTGACCTTCAACCAACGCACGAGGGGACCAAACTGCTTCTTTTTATCAGTTGCCAATTTCGTGATTTCATTTTTACCAGCAGCCAATTCCTCCTCGTTGTAGGTAAACTCTCGAACTACAAATCTGCACAAAAATAAAAACAAATTAAAATACGGAAATTCACCGAACTTAAAAAATGAGTAACAATTTTATGATTTTGTGAGGACGGAAACTTGTAATAAAATAATTACCGATTTTCTCGACACTGTAATTAAACAAAACAATCATTAAAATCTCAACCCTTGATTTCTGAAACAAATTTTATTTTTGTAATATCACTCACATGATGTTTAAACTCGTCGGCAACTTTTCGAAATAAAGTGACCGTGAAGAGTCCATGATCCTGATCTTGGAAAATGAGACGACCCGATCGTGGCACCACCATGTCCGTCAGCTTCTCATATTTACCTTCCCAATCGTGAAAGTTAGCTCTGCGCAAAACAAAATGTAATTAAACAAACCGTATTTAAAGTAGGACTCGATAACTCTTCGCCAAAATCAGCACATTTTCAATCATTTCTCTGCTTTGGGAATTGATTTTAAAATTCTGGACGACAAATTTGTAGTCAGTAAATTGATTAATGGAATGGTGCTGAGTTTTATCGCCAGTTCCGATGAGTTCTTAACGAAGACTTATTAAACTCAAATCTCGTTCAAAAAGTGTCAAAATCTGGGGTGTATATTTTTAAAAAGTTGGCCACGACCTGCTCCACAAATTTGTAGTCCAGAATTTTAAAATAAATCCCCACAATCCAGAGCCGAGAATGATTAAAAATGTGCTAATTTTGACAATTTTGGTGATGATTAAACAATTCCTACGTTAAATAATTCCATCAAAATCACATTTTCATACTCACTTTGGTACAACGACGACAAGGGTCACGAGATATTCGGAATCTAGCACGAAATGTTCTTTCTTCACGATATCGGCCAAATTTCTGGTTATCAAGCTCCCCCTAAAAATTATGTCATGAAACCATTAAGCATTAATTAACAGGCTGATTAGGTTAATAATTAATGCAATTACGTACGTCTGTTTCTTCTCCAAATTTTGAAGCGACCCCTTCAAATTATTGTAATGACTTGATTTCACTTTCAGATCTGCATCAATTTGTCCAGCCTGTTTGGCAATGATTTCACTCAGATTTCGCAGAGATAACTTTAACGGGTATTTTGCCGCGTCCCATTGATAATGAGTTACGTAGTGGGCGAGGTCAACTATATTTTAAAAATAAATACCCAATTAATTAATTGCCAATTAATTTATAATCCAATCAATCTGCGCATGCATACCATTATTAGCCAACAAATTCTCCGCCAGCTTATCTCTCTGGTCTTCCAAGACATCCTTCAAATAATTGGCAACCTTTTCGCAAATAGAAATAATTTTTAGCACATTTTTTAGCAAGCTTCTTGACATATTTATTTACCTTTCGGGTAACGCCTTCCACGTACTGGTCCAATTTTTGTAAATCGTCCGACAAGCCGACAAGTTGATCGAGGGTGCCAACCTGAATTTAAACACGTTATTAATTAATTACCCACCCACTTGTTACTCCCACCCCCCAATTTAATTAATAATTAACTAATCAGTACTTAATTATCAAACCAAACACACCTTCAAATCTGGAATTGGCAACTTATAATTCGTCGACAACGTGTTCTGCTTCGACGTAGCGTTATTCAACGTTTCAAACGCTTGGGCCGGAGTCTTATCGCCCGGAATCGAGATTAGCCAATACTCTGACATTTTATTTTACTACTCTAAAATAATTACTTATCAACAAACTGATAGTTGTTTTTTAATTAAAATTGTTCCTCAAAAGTCAGCCCAAAACGGGAGCGATTTGAGCTCTTCGAACTGCACGATAAGCCAACAATTAAATTAAATCTTCCCTCTTGAATAATTATTACTAATTATATTGCTTCCTTAATTTAAAATCCAAACCGTAGTTAACTAACTGTTACAATAATTAACTGATTTTTTGACTGGAAGAATTCTGCATAATAAACACAACCCTGCCCTTATTTTGACTTTGATTTCACGTTCACTCGATGGCTCGGCGCGACTCAAACTCAAGCTGCACACGAGGTTTTGGAAATTCCACAAGTTTCCCGTTTTTCGTTTCCAAAAAATTAAATATTTTTAAAAAACTATAATTAAATTAAACCTGACTTTTAAAATAATGAAGACGAAATCCTCCTCCTCCCGAGTAAGCAGGCGCTTTTCGGATAACCCATTTGCAAAAAATATCGTAGAAGAAATCGACGATGAAGACTTGCTCATGGATTATGAACGATTTGACGAGAATGCGGATAAGCTATCAAAATCGTCCATGTCCACCCCCATGCCGCCGTCAGGACGTGATAAGCCACATAAAAAGTTGAAGAAGAATAAAGAAGTGAGGCAGGAGGATGAGTGGGGAGAAATCAGTACCAATAATTATTCTACTTTTGGAGCGGATAAGAGCAGTAGAGCCGACTTATCTTCGGTAATTTATAAATAATTAGTAGTAGATAAGTCTCGGTATTTGGTACTCATTGTATTTTTGTGGCACAAACAGTCCAAGAAGAACAAGAAAATACAGGAGGAGGACGAGTGGGAAACAAGTAATAATAATAATTCTACGTTTGGAGCGGATAAGAGAAGAGGCTTATCTCCGGTAATTTACACATAATTATTACTAGATAAGTCTCATTATTTGATACTCATTGCATTTTTTGCCACATAAACAGTCCAAGAAGAGCAGAGAAATACGACAGCAGGATGAGGACGAGTGGGAAACCAGTAATAATTATAACAACGGTTTTGGAGCGGATAAAAGAAGACAAATCGGCTTATCTCCGGTAATTTATAAATAATTATTATCAGATAAGCCCCAATATTTTATGCTTATTGTATTTTTCTACATAAACAGTCCAAGAAGAGCAGAGAAATACGCCAGGAGCCGGAGGAGGATGAGTGGGGAGAAATAAGTACCAATAATAATATTAATTTTGGAGCGAATAAGAGAAGAAATGTCGACTTATCTCCGGTAACTTATAAATAATTATTGCTCGATAAGTCTCAATATTGAATACTCATTGTACTGTACTTTTGTTAAATAAACAGTCCAAGAAGAACAAAGAAATACGGCAGCAGCAGCAAGAGGAGGATGAATGGGAAGAAACCAGTTACAATAAAAATACAAGTTTTGGAACGGATAAGCGAAGCAGAGTCGACTTATCTCCGGTAATTTATGAATAATTATTACTAGATAAATCTCAATTTTTGATACTTATTGCATTATGTTTGCTATATAAACCAGCCCAAGAAGAAGAATAAAGAAAAACGGCTGCAGCACCAGGAGGATGAGTGGGAAACCAATAATAGCCACAATAATTCTAGTTTTGGAGCGGATAAGAGCAGAAGAGTCGACTTATCTTCGGTAATTTATAAATAATTATTACTGATAAGTCTCAATATTTGATACTTAATGAGTATTACTCATTGTACTATTTTTGCTGTATAAAACAGTCCAAGAAGAAGAATAAAGAAAGACGGCAGCAGGATTCGGCCCAAGATTGGGAAACCAATAATTACAATTATAATACTAGTTTTGGAGCCAATAAAAGAAGAGAAGTCGACTTATCGCAGGTAATTGATACATAATTACGGAATTTTTAACATATAATTAGTAAATATTAGTGGCAGACAGATGCCAATATTCGATACTCATATGATTATCATTTTTTTTTAAAAAAAGGTTCCACCCCATTTGTTCAAAAATATGGTGCAAGCGACACCACCAAAATATTTCTCCTTGACGGAAGATGAAATCAACCATGAAGACGTGGAAGGATGGATTATTCAGTGTCCTCGAAATGTAGGGATTATCATTTAATTTTCAATTTTAAATATATTTAAATGACCTAAATAATATGCAAATTGTCCTCGAAATGTAGGGATTATCATTTAATTTGCAATTTTAAATATATATATTGAAATAACCTAAAGTAATCTCTAATTATTAATAATTAGGTAAACCTAAAGGAAATTCTGGAGGGGAAAAAGCTCAGCTTGAAAGATGGAGCGTCGTCAATTTTGTCGTCATCTCATCAAGAAGAAGAACTCGGTTCAGGAGACACGTTTGAAGCCATCACATCAAAGCAAACGTCCGACGGGAGGCAACAAATTGATCAAAATGCCTTAATAATTTTACCCGATGGGGAACGACATTTCAAAATGGGTAATAATATTTCTAAAATTTTATGAAATGGGACAAAAAATCGTATTTTGAGCTCCATTCTTCCCAGGGTTTATATATCCGGGGCTGTTGCACCCACAAAAAGACGAAAATTTAGGTGGAGAAGGCAAAAGTCAGTCCAAAATACATATTTTGTGAAGAAATCAATTTTTATCACTATCAAAATACAATTTTTTTTAAATCGCGAAAACAATGCATTTTGACAGCGATAAAAAGTCAATTTCTTCACGAAACCTATATTTTTTACTACCTTCTCCACGTAAATTGTCGTCCTTTTGCGGGTGTCAGCCCCAGAATTCCAAAACCTGGGAAGAACTATGCTCAAAATAACGCATTTTAACGAAACTAGTTTGCTTTACAAGTTGCAATCGATCCACGATCACATGAGCTGAATAAGCGCAAGGTGTTCTAAATTTTTACCCGCAATTTATTTTATTTTGACGTGAAAATTATTCAATTTCTCAAATTCCAGTAACAAAAGTTTAGTAAATATTTAATTTAGAACACCTTACGCTTATTCGGCTAATCATGGATCGATTGGAACTCTTATAACAAACGGAACTGTACCAACCCGAAATTACTTCTCTCAAACAAAATTAATATAAATCTTTCTTCCTTATCATCCTTAGCTTCCATCCCGCTTCACGGCTGCATCACGGTCAGAACCCACCTTGAAGAAGTGTACCCTCCCGAAGTCCTCATCCCACGAAAGAAAACCCGCAAATTACCACGTGGCATCAAACAACGACACCCCATTTACGGCGTGGACTTTTCCGAAGCCCTGTCAGGAGACAAAGTGACAAAAACTCGGTCCACCTTTTACGCTCCTTCCCCAACCAAAACAAACCTTGAGGACGACTTTATCGAAAAATTGACTTTCTCCAAGACCAAAAGGGTACGAAAGTCGTCAGTTTCCATTCCTCAAGTAATACCTGAACCGGAAGTAGAAGTAGAACCACCCTCGAAAAAATTAAAAAAGAGGAAATCATATATCGAACCAGAGGAATTCGCTCAACCGGAAGTTCTAGAAGAAGCACCACCACCCTCAAAAAAATCAAAGTCTTCTAAAAAGCGGAATTCATATATTGAACCGGAAATTCTAGAAATCCCGGAATATTATGTATCTCCTAAGAAAGAGAAAAAAACAAGAAAATAAAACATTACGGTTAAGTTAAATTCGTTTCCAATTTTCCATTATTATTAGTAATCAGATTGAAGGTGGGAGTAATACTTTGTCAAAATGTACAGTTTTTGATCCTCGTTCTTGCCAGGGTTTGGATTTCGGGGGGTGTTACACACAAAAAAAGTCCAAAATTTACGTGAAGAAGAGAAGAATCAGTCGAAAATCCAGGTTTTTGTGAAGAAATAACTTTTTGTCGCTGTCAAAATACTTTAAAAAAAATTGTGACGACGATAAAATGTTAATTTCTGTTCAAAACCAGCATCTTCGACTGATTGTTCCCTTCTCCACGTAAATTCTCGTCTTTTCGTGGGTGTACCACCCCCAGAAATCCAAACACTGTTAAAAACTAGGCCCAAAATCCTTTCCATTTTCAAATTTTCACAAAGTACATTCCCCACTTCTCATTATCACTATTATTTTTCTCGTAATATAAAATCACTTCATTTTAATTCACACGAAATGTCATCATCATCACATCAACATCATCATCACTTTTCCCCCTTTTCATCCTCCTCCTTCACCTCTGGAATTTCTTCCGGCTCAAAAAACACGTCATCTTCTTGGACAACAACCACTTCACCCCCTCGATTTAATCCCCCCGATGTCACACTTGTCCCACCATCGACACTCCACTCGCCCCCATCCGCCTGCGCGTATTGTATCATCTGCGTCCACGTCAACTGCTTCAACCTCCTCCCGACAAACTCCTCCGGACAAGAACACGGGTTGTCCCAGTCCCACTGGAGAAACTTGCTTATCTGACTCGTCTCCGTCGCCTTCCTCTTCGTCAGATCTACAATTTCCTTCTTCTTTTCGTCACCTGGTGTCGAAATCGTCTTCTTTTCGTCACTCTGTATCGACGCCGTCGTCTTTTCCTCCTTCTTTTCGTCACTTTGTGACATCGTCTTCGTCATCGTCTGCGTGTCAACTTCCGCTTTCTCACTGTTACTATTACACGTGCACAAATGACTCTTCGTCTCATCCCCACCGCACGGACAAGTACAAGAAGACGACCCCCTCCTTCTTCTTCTCGTCCCCTCAGTTTGCGTGTTCTTCGAATTGTTCTCGTCGCCATTGTCCTCAGGACAGCCGCATTCTTCTCTTTTCCTCTTGAACCACTCGTCCTCTTCCTCATCGTCACATTCTTCTTCTTCACCCTCCGTCGTTTCTCCCCCAGTTTCGTCACGCTTAACTTTTCTCGTCCCATTAGAATCCGTTTGAGCATCGGCTTCCTCCCGTTTTGCGGTGCACTTCCGGCGCGCACGTGGCGCGGCAGGATCGGTCTGAATTATGACGTCTTTTACGTTCACTTCTTCCGTTTCTTGGATGGTGGAAGCTTTGGAAATTGAGGACGCGAGGGATTCCGCATCGTCATCGAGATCGACGGGTTCCGTGTCGACTAAAGTTCCGGAGGTGGTGACGTAAAGGACGAATTCTGTCTTGGACTGGATTGTGGAGGCTTCGTCGGGCGTGGCCTCTTCGGATGTGTAGTCTTCGTCGGCGTCTTCTTGTTCGGGGTAGACTTTGTACATGTCTACACCCGGAAAAATAGGGTCAAATTTAGTGACAACGACGACAAAAAACGACCAGATTCTTACCATTGCAGCAGAAATACTCGAGGCAGAACATCAAGGGGAGGGTTATACAGACGAGCAGGAAGATAAATATGGTCCATAAAATTATTGGGGTGATATCTTCTATCCACGCTAAAGTTCAAAATGTAACGCCACAATTTTAGCACTTTGCGCAAATTTAAATTTGCAAATATTTACCTTCTATCCACTGATCCGCGTCACCCTTTAGTCCATCCATTTATTCGCAACGATATTTCTTAATTGAATTCTTAATTGGGGTCATTATGCCACTAATATTACAAAGAAAGAGATGAACTATCAGATGCTAAATACCAAACCGGAACTTGTCGTAAAAAAAGAGATACCATTTTCCCACGAGAATTTATTATTCGTTCGATAAACAAAATAGCGTCACATTGTACAAAAGTAGCGTTGGTTACTTGCTTTAAAGTGGTCACAATTTGGGGGTCGTAAATTTAAAATTCTCAATGACGGAGGACATTTTCATGAAATTTCCCCAACACGTTTCCGGGTGAGGTAAAACGCCACGACGAAGGTTCCCTTCGGTCCGGACGCCTTCGCTATGCCAAACTGTTTCGATTCCGTCCATACAATTTGTGTAAATGAGCCTGCAAAAAATCGCATTCGATGACTGAACTGATCGCTAAAATCGTCAACATCAACACATTTCTAATCATCATGTCTCTCCTCTCGGAATTTATTTTAAAATTCTGGACGACAAATGTGCCGACCGTGAGTTAAAACAACGTTGAGTTTTTGGAGCCAGTTTCGACCAGTTTCAATTTTTCTGAAGGTTTCTTAAACCCGAGATCTCTTCTTTCAAAAAGTGTAAAAATCTGGAGCGTATATTTTTTTAAAGTCAACTCCCTGCTCCACAAATTTGTCGTCCAGAATTTTAAAATAAGTTCCCAGAGGCGAGAAATGATTAAAAATGTGATGATTTTGACGTTGAGTAAGTGAGTCCTACAAGTTAAGATTATTAAAATTTAAATTTTGGTAACCTGTCGCCTTTTGAAAGTCCATTTTATCCGTTAAAATGAGACTCTTCATGATACCAGAACTCGACGGGGACGTCCCCCTTCATCGCGTGGCCCGGCCCGCTTGACCAGTAAATGTTTTCACCGTAACCAAAATGACTGTTCTCCATGTTTCCTTTCGCCGTCAGTTGGTCCGCCCAACTCTGTGCGGCGCTGCACAACTGCAAAGTTTTTTAATAAATGGAAACATATGTATGTAGCTAATTAAAATTAGAGAAAGGGGTACAGGTCAAAAGGTCATACATCTTTCGACACCGTCATCGGAGGGACGTTATGCTTGGCTCGATACTTATTATGACAGCGGAGAGCTTCCTCCACAAAGACGTCGTCAGTTCGGCTGTCCACCTAAAAAATTACGACGGGAATATAACGACGGGAATAAATAATAAATTTCCTCCATCCCAAGATTGAGGTATGCTCTCCGATTTTAAGCAAATTAGTGTCAATTGATCGTAAATTTAATTAGGATGAAATTTGAGAGAGACGCGATCTCCCAATGGGAAGAGATATGTGCATCCCAAGAGGAGAAAACGCGCAGTAAAGGCGACAAATTTTACACTTTACAAACTTACTGGAACCATATCTGATCGTGTTTAACAAAATCTAATAAGTTCTACATTTTTTTCTGACGTTCAAATTTCACAGTTTCCAAATTTACTAGGAATTTTCTCCTCTTTGGGTGCAGACATCTTCGCCAAACGTGCCCATTTGGGGAGATCGTGTCGTTTGCAAATTTCATACTAATTAGATTTGTGATCGATTGACATTAATTTGCTCAAAGCTGGACTGGGGGACCTCCATTGTAAGTACAAGTTACGCACCTTATTTTGACCATCCGCAACCCCCAGAGATTGTCTTTGTCCCCCTTGTGGCGTCGTTTGTGGCGTCGTTTGCGGCGTCACTTGTGCCGTCGGTGTCGCGACATAGGTCAATTGCAACGGGGGATTCCCATTGCTCAATCTGGGCAACGCCGCCCCCGGGACGATTTCCTCTTCTCGCGTCGTCTGTGTCTCCGTCCGAACTTAGGTCGACCCGTCGGAAAACTCGTCCGTAATTATTCGCGTCACGATTGTTTCCGTTACGCCCTAAATAAAACAGATACAAAATTAGCCCCTTGCAAATTTAATGCCAATTTTCAATGCCAATAATTTGCATACATTTTCCGACACCGTTTTCGTCTCGGTGCGAAGCTTCGTTCCCGTCTTTACTTTATTCATGTCCACCACATACATAGAATTTTGACCACCGCAAAGTAATTAATTTTCGCACAAATATAGCCCTACAAATTTTGATATGTGAATAAATTAGTTGCAAAATTCAGAAATTTTCCCATATTTATATCCACAATTTCTTAATTTTTTTAGTATCCAAGTAACTTTTTTGTGCAAAAATTTTTGAAATTCATGATAAAATAAAATAAAATTTTATATAAAATTAATAATCTCCTATTTTGCTATTGGTTGGCGTCATACTGAACAAAAAATGTAATTTACTGGAGTAAAAGCTTGCCAAAATTTGTCGAATCGTTTTTTACCCCAAAATTTGAAAATTTTCTTAAATTTCATAAACATTGGCGTCTAGTTTACTTTGTAACATTCCAAAAATTGTGAAGAATTTTGACGTCTATCTCCTAAATAAATTGTTAAATTTGCTAGTCTCATCATTTTCAGCGTATTTACTTTTAATTGCAATTCAACAATCCTAAAAATTTTTTACTTATAATCGGCGAAATAATGTAGCAACTTTTCCGCACATGATTTAATTTTACACGTGTTTTATTACGGAAGCAGTTTTATTATTAACGACAAAAATAAATATTTATATAGCTTTTTCTCTCTCTAAAAGTATACGATATGATTTTGACCAGAATGACTTATTAAGTTGTAAATATGCCTTAAATTTGCTTTAAGTAATTATGTCTACAAATGTCCATGCATCATTTACATAAATAAATTTGCAACAACTTTCTCCTCTCTTGAAATAATGGAATACTTGTATGTATCACGTTCTCTCATAATATTTTCTTATATTTTTTCCTAATCCGAATCCGTCTCCGAATACTTTTCCGGATTTCCTGGCCGTTTCATCACGTTATCTTTCAGCTTTCCCATCAAATTCCTGTACAGAAAAAATAAGTAAATAAATTCATAGCAATTTCACAATTTCATTCGCATCAGGGTTCCAGTCCAAATTCGAAATTTCAAAAAAATCAGCCCAATCAAAACTTTATCTACAGGAATTTTGATGATTCTCCTACAGAAACGTTTTTGTCAAGGAAGAAGGTGAATTAAAATTTACCCGTAAAATTCCCGCAGATTAACATTTTAATTGCTCGATTTTTCAAAATTTCTAATTTGCATACCCTTCTCTACAAAAGAAACTACCAGGAAAAATAGATATATATAAATTTCATAATTTCATTCCCATCAGGGTTCCTCGATCTCCTAGTTCAAAATTTCCAAAAAAAGTAACCTTGTCAAATTTTGATGATTCTTTTGTTCTACTGTCAAGGAAGAAGGTGAATCAAAATTCAGCTGTAAAATTCCAGCAGATTACAATTTTAATTAATCTGTTTTTTTCAAAATTTCGAACTTGCACATACAACCCTCTTTACAAAAAATACACGGAAATTTCACAATTTCAAATTTCTCAAATTTTTACCCGGCCGGATTATAAATCGCGACGACGTAAGTGCCCCCTTCCTTGACACCTTTCGCCTTCGCGATTCCCAACTCTTTCGTATCCTTCCACACGACTTGGGTAAAGTGTCCAGTGCCCTTTTGGAAGTCGGCGTCCTTTTTGTAGTCGTACTCCTTCACTTCCGAGTACCAATGGCGGACGGGGCTCTTTCCGTTCTCCACGTCCCCACTGCACCAGTGAATATTCTCCCCGAAACCGTTCTGCGAATGCTGCATCTTCTCATCCGCCGCGCATTTGTTCGCCCACGCTTGCGCCACTTTGCAAAGCTGACAAATTAAGCAAAATTTGTCAAAACTCGGTGTTTTGAGCGTTTTGATTGCTCCAGCTTTTTGAGCTGGAGAAAAAAAATCGCACTATTTTTTATACAGTATTTCAGCAAGTGTCAAAAATACAGACAAAATAAAAAATATTTTGTAATAAAAATACAGTATTTTGTAAAAAAATACAGTATTTTGAACTCCGTGCTTCCCCAGCGGGTTTGGATTTCCGGGGGCTGTTAGTCCCACAAAACGACGAAAATCTGCATCGGAAAGACAGCAGTTTTATGAAAGTACTGAGTTTGTAAGAAATTAACTTTTTATCGATGTCAAAAAAGTATTTATTTAATGCAGTATTTTGACAGCGATACAAAGTTAATTCCTTCACAAAACCAGTACTTTCGTAGAGAACTGTTCCCTTTCAGATTTTCGTCTTTTTGTGGGTGTAACAGCCCCGCAAATTCAAATCCTGGGAAGAACAGAGCTCAAAATACATGTTTACAAAGTGCTGAAATTAATGTATAAAAAACAGTGCGATTTTTTTTCGCCATTTTCTTACATCGTCGTTCAACGAGAGTTTAGAAACGCCATGTTTTTTCCGGTAAAAGTTATGCGCTCGGACCGCCTGTTCCAACCAGGGGCGCTCCGTGGTCACTTTCTCCTACAGAAAAAGCATGTAATAATTGTCACATGACTTCAGTTTTATGCAATTTACTAACCCGTGGGGCTGCAGCTTTAGCTTCACTAATCGTGTAAGTTTTACCGCTTGGCTTTCCAGTTTTGGGATCTAAGCAAGCACAAATATCCTAATTATTAGAATTAACATAATTATATCAGAGGTCGACGCCTGACTTTCTATTCACTCTTAGAAATGGGGTTACGATTATAACAAAAAGTAAACTTATGTATATGACTCTACCGCCGTGGTTATAAATTTGTCATCGAGTGGTTACAATTGTCACCGAATAATTATAAAGTTTCACCAACTTGGTATTAAATTGTCACCCGAGGTAATAAATTTATAAGCAGTTAGTGACAAATTCATAACCATGGCGGTAGACTCACATACGTTTACTTTTTGGTTATAATCGTAACCCCATTTCTAAGAGTGTTCCTTTAACATTGCGACGTAGCGCCGCGCCGCGCTCGACGCCGGCAAAAAAATTGGCGCCGCCGCCTCATAATTGGTCGGCGTCTACCTATCATTTCTCCATATTTTTAATATTATCCAATTAACTCACCGATATGCTGCATCTGCGCCCCTTCCGTGATCGTTTGCACCTGCGTCTTGGTCGACGAGGAGCCATCATCGTACTTATCCACCGTCGTCGTTGTGATCGTTTTCACCACCACGCCCTACAAAAATTGGACACAATTACAAAAAAAACTCTGTTATATCTACTGTTAATATCTACTGTGATGAATCAGCAAATAAATAGATTTTGTATCAATAGTTCGAAATTTAACATGTTTAAACAAAATCTTCAAGCAACTTTTGAGATCTCATTAACCACAAAAATCATGAGAGTGTGCGACGCCGTATGAAATTATTTTATAAAAATAACTAGTTTTTTTAATTTATTAAAATAGATAGATTAATGAAATAACTTGGATTTATGAAAAATCGCTGAGATATATGTATAAGCTTTAGCATTAAAAAAAACACCAAAATATTTATTAAAAGAACATAAAAAGTAAGAATTTTATAAATCTCAATTTTTAATCAGTAGATTTTAAACAAAAATCCGATTTTGAGCAAGTTTCACGTCGCTCACGAAATCTAACTTTATTGTATTTAGAAAATGTAGAATACAGATATATATATAATATCAACGTGTTTGATAAACAAACCCCAGCCTAGCCTGGTATTGATTTGGTAATAACTTTCTACCGGATTGGTAGTAGTTTGTTTCTGAGCTGTAAATTTTTCATTACTAAACAGAAAAGCCCGTTATTACCAGTGCCGGTAGAGTCGTAAATGTATGTACTCCGATCGGTAATGATTTAATACCAGTTTTCTAAGAGTGTAGAGTCACATATTTATATACTCCGTACTAGTATTGATTTGGTAACAATTTTCTACCGGATTGGTAGTAGTTTGTTTCTGAGTGGTAAATTTGTCATTTCCACAACATTACTAAACGGTAATGCCCGTGCCCATGCACGGATTATTTGGATCATTTTGCAAATTTTTGCAAAATATGTATTTCATCTTTGTATTTTATTTTATTCTTTGGAATTTTTGTGGTCGAACCTTCTTTCAGAAAAAAAATTCGTCTCACATCGTTCAAAAATTTAAAAAATGTATGTATTTTTGAAAAAAATATGCATATCAGAGCTTCATAAAAAAACTTACATCTTCTTTCGTCTCCACTTTCGTGTCGGTTTTTGTATTCGTCGACACGATCTTCTTGTCCCCCTTGTCCGCCATTATTTTCCTGAAATTATTTCGAAACCAAAAATTATTCCCAAAATCTGCTGTCCAGTCGAATACGTGGCACTTGAATGACTACGCGACGATACACAGCCAGGTGATAAAAAAGCTGTAATAAAAATCTCCCGTTTTATTGTTTATCTACGACGAGGCGACCATGAAATCAAATTTGAGGCGAGAGAGATTAGCATGATTGATTTTACCTGAATTTAATCCCTACAAATTGGCGATAAAATTAAACTGATATTCAAATTAGTATTGCAATAACGCTGTCACTCTGTGCAAAAAAAAATCAGCCTAATAAATCCGCATACTTGGAATATTTTCTTACAAATGTACATATATGCAAATTATTATAGCCAGGATATTCGCAATATGTGCAAATATATTGATTGATCTTGTCCTTTACTTATCGCATATTTTTTTATTGCAAGTTTTACTACATGTCCGTGAGATGAGGTGATATCAACGAAATACATAAATTGGCATATGTATGTGCAAACCTATCTGTGCTAAATATGTTTGCAAAATAATCTTTATGTATTTATTACACTGTGTCCGTCGTTCGGTCAAACTTTATTTACCCAGTGATTTGATTAATGGTATAAAATGACGTAACGTATATTTTCGTCGCCTGTATCAAGGCAAGTATGCAATTAACCCAGTTATCACATCATCACCTCGCAGATAACCAAATAATTAAGTAATCCGATAAATAATCCTTCTTAAAAATGCTGTATTATTTTCCTCGTTAAAATCAAATCTGACCATAACTGGAATTTAAAGTAACAAAGCAAGTAATTAACGCAATTATCACCGCGCAGATAAGCCTACCTTGGAAGCAAATAAGCAACCCAGCAGATGAACAATCCTTCTTAAAAAATGGTTACAATCTGACCACAACTAACTGGAAACTAATTACAAAAAGTAAAGTTACAAACAAAACACGGTTACAAAGTTACAAAACAACTATACAAAAATGCTCCCTATAGAAAACTGTGGGTCAAAAGATGATGGCACCTTTCTCTGACCGGTACTACCACTACGATTGGTCATTTCACTAACAATGATGAAATTAAGTTGTGGACTAGTTTTTATTTTAGCCGGACTGATACACATTTGATACACATTTTTGCAATGTCTTTTATTGAGCCAATTCACTAACACCAGATGCAAATAACGGCTCAACTGGACTGGGTTGCCAATTTCGGCTGTGTCGTGTGGTGTGGTGCGTGGTGACCAAAAGAGCAGTGGCGGATCGATACCATTCACATGCTTGATTATTGACTGGTTCGCAGCCATTCTAATAAAATTACAGTTCCGGTCACGCAAACTGAAAAATAAAAACATTGTGCTAAATTTGGTACGAAAAAGAGTCAATTCTTTATTTGTTGTGCTGTATTTTAACGAGGGTTCAAGTCAGGGTTCAAATTGGAATAATCACACTGATTTAGGTGCGACTTCTGTGACTTTCACACACTGTGATTTCTGTGAAACAAAATACATTCTAGGACAAAACCAACTTAATTTTTCGATGCATCCCGAAATTCTGAGCATTTTTCTACCCAACTTGAGCCAATTAAGTTACATTTTCCATTAGATTTATATTTAAAGACGAAACTTGGTCAAAAACGCGTATGAAAATGGTCAGAATAAATGGTCAGATTTCCAAACATAAAGCTAATTTTAATCTAAAATGCGCATTAAAGAAACTTCCTCCATTTTGCCACGTTATATACCAACTGAAATCTCACAACTCACATATTTTACAAAAATCCCATAAGTCACATATGTATTTCACAAAAATACCCACTGTGATGTGATTTTCCAAACGCAAACTCACATATGTACATGTTTATTTGCTAAATCATGGAAATCGACACCACCCCACCACATTAGACTTTGTCAACCTACATATTTACATATTTGACCTTTATGCCAAGTCAATTACACAGTACTCATTTCACCAAACTGCGGCATATCCCACCACACCAATTTATATTTTTATTACCCCTTAATTTCCATCTAATCCAATCTACCCAAATAGCTCTGACTGTATCCGACCCATTGTAAATCAAAGAGGATTAAACTCAAATAAAATTAGCAACAAACCTGACCAGATTTCAATAGCAGAAAGTATGTAATTCCCGTCTGGATTGGATTACTTAATTATTGTCTCGCTCAATTCACCATGCTGTGTTTGTCTGACAGTCCAACTAAGAATGTCATCCAGCTCAAAATGCATACACAATGCAGTGCAGTAAATAATATCGGGATTCTGTATGTACATATGTACATTTGATCAATAAATTTTATGTCACATTACTCATTTCATTTCATTAAAGTAGCAATTAAAATACATAAATACAACAACATTCGGAACCTCAAGTGTGCATTTATTGCAAGTCTCGAATTCTTATGCCTTGTCCTAATTTTGCACGACATGAAACCAAATGTTCTCCATTTTGGACATGATACATACAAATTCAAGCCTATTTTAGATACTTATTTACAGGTAAAACTGCACTTGCACTTGGTTCACGTTTTTTTATATCATATGAATATACGCTTTATCAATTAATTGATAGCTATTATTAACAAACATGAACTAAGAAAATAAGCCAGCCAGCAATATATGTACCCCAAATTTTGCATCCATGTCCACCTTATCAGCAACAATCCATACCATAATTAAAACACGGTCAACACATTTTAATAAAATGACTCATCCCCACAAATAAGTACCTAATCAATCCAATTGTTTATCAAATTATTATTATTATTGTTACCAAGTCGAGTTTAACTATATATGATAACGTGCCAATATTTTGCAAGCCCACAGTAGCAAATACATATGCAAATCCCATTCTGAACCTGGCACATGAAAAAGTTTGCATATGCTATCCATCACAAATCAAACATAAACAGGAAAAAGCATGGAATGCGAGGTGCCTGACGATGAGGAAATATATTCGCAAAGAAAACAAATTAGTGCAATATTTATTAATCCCTTCCGCATTATTGTGCGTTACATATGTAGATATTTATTTATTTTCGCACTATATTTTGCACCACATTTTTTCGCAATAAAGAAAAATTAAAGAATGGTTTAACTAAGTTTTCCCTGTTTTTTGAATGAAAATTCGTAAAATTAATATGTCAAAATTCGGGTCGCATTATTCGTGGTTGGAATTTCCACCACAAAATAAATCAGGCAAAAATCTCTGGCACACATTTCCATGAAATTGTGCAAAATTTGCACTGCAAATTACATATACTCTATGCATAAATACGACTTAAAAATTGGCACATGTGTGTCCTCCTTCACCACATATTTACGAGTACAAACCACCACCACCACATTTTTTGTCACTTCTTTCTTTCTGTCCTGATAATATGGGAATGGAAACTTATCAGTAAATATCTACTTCCGGTCAGTATATGGAATCCATGAATGGAAATATTTACATAAACATGTATCTTACTCCACCAAGCAGACTTTGGTCACATGCTTATTTACATATTCGTGTATTATGAATTGGTCATGTATTTCTTAATGTCGTTTCACTTCATTTGTTCTCAAGTCAAATGGTTTGACTCATCGAAAAACAATTTTAGTTTCTAATTGTTTCAAATTTTGTTAGTTGACTCATTTTCTCAAAAACATTCAGAGTCATTAATATTTTCAAAAATATTTGTGTCCTCTTAATAAAATAGTCATGTATCTCATCCCTCCCAATTTTTACGCATCTTCACTCTCACATTTGTCCAGCCTCGTTGTGATCATCTTTAATCTACTAATTTTGCAAGGATTACACTGTTCCGACTTATCAAATGTGAAGAAGACGAGTAACGCAGTGAAAGTGGTCACCCCATCGCCAGTCGTATTAAGAAAGGTACTTTATCAACGCATAGATTTGGGCATGTTAAAGTCACAATTTTGATAAGTATACGAAAATTCCAGTAATTTGAGAAATATTTGAAATATTTTGCGATAACAAATATTATTCTAAACATAAAAACGATTTTAAATAATTACATTCAATTTTCGATTTATACGTTTAACAAAGTCAAAATTTGCAAGAATTTGTGCGAACTTCATCAATATCAAAATTTACAGGAATTTAAGAAAGTACCCAAGTCAAAATTTCCGAGAATTACAGTAACCTCTAAATTTAGAATTATAAGAAAGCTAAAATTTGCAAGAATGTATAATACATAAGTTTGGATTTATTTATTTACTTATTTAAATCGAAATTTACAAAAATTACGAATTTTTTTTGTTTACTTTTAAAGACAAGTATTAAAATTATTAAGCCAAAATCAACAATCATTTTTCGGCTCTGGGAATTTATTTTAAAATTCTGAACAACAAATTTGTATAGGGGGAGTTCCCAATGTTTTTTTTTAGAAATTTTGAACCTTTTTGAAAAAGATCTCAAGTTTAGGGAGCCTCCAGAAAAATTGGAACTCATCGAAACTGGCCTACAAATTTACGGTCATTCCATTAATCAACTCACTGACGGCAAATTTGTCGCGCAGAATTTTAGAATAAATTCCCAGAGGCGAGAAATGATTAAAAATGTGCTGATTTTGAAAATTTTCATGAAACATCATGAAGTTTTAGTACATTGAGTCAAAATTTGCCGTTGCATATTTAAATATCATGAGAATCAGACCCGTTAACATAAGAAATATTTTACCAGTTCAATTCTTACTATACCCTGATTACGATCGTTATGGGCTCTCCGGGTGGAGCCTAATAGGCAGAAACCAGCGCTCTTCCCCTCATTCTTTTCAGCAAACTGAGGAACGTGGCTGGTTTCTGCCTATTAGGCTCCACCCGGAGAGCCCATAATGATCGCAATCAGGGTATAATCCTAAACATGAAAAACGACGTTAAATAATTACATTTGAATAATTTTATTAAGCTAAGGAACACTTCTTGATTTCGATATTTTTTTGTTTTGAAATTTTTCCGAATTACAAAAACTAGGGAACACTTCACCCTCAGAGTAATTTTGTGAGAGAGAAGGACACAAATTTCTAAATTATCTATTTTAGAAAGTCAAAATTTCGGATAAATACCTAAATTTCGAATCATGTATATATTTAAGAAGGTCAAAATTTCACAGAATTTGTGTAAATTAATTACTGTGCATAAATCTCCAAATTCCGAATTATATATCTAACAAAATTTAATTTTCCAGAATTTGTGACAATTTGCAATAATTGTATAGATATTTAACTTTCAAATTATTTAAGTAAGTCGAAATTTGCAAAAATTACGACGTCTTGTATATTTTTAACGTTAAAAAAATTTATTTTCAAATAAAGAATAATTTACAAATTATTTATTAGATTCAGAATTTGTCCAAATCCAAAGTAAAAAGACCTTGGTCCAAATCTTGCTGAAGTCCAACTTTGCAAAAATTACGTGCAGTTTTTAGAAAATGAGAATTGTCTGAATTTGTGAGGAAAATTCCATAAATTTCCAAATTATATTTTATATATTTAAGAAAGTCAAAATTTCCCTGAATTTGTGACAATTTCCCTAAATTGTAGAGATATCTAACATTAAAATTATTTTAGGAAGTCAAAATTTCCAAAACTTTGTTTTCAAATAAAAAATTATATCCGAATTATTTATTACTAAATCACAAATCTTTACTACTTACATATATTTAGACATTTAAATTAAACGCATTTTTAAATGTTTTGCAAAAATTGCGTGAGTTTTTGAAAATTCGGAAAAATTGTTATTCAAATTATTCTTTTTTCCTCAATTTCAGGCGAAACTAACGACCGATTCCAGTTGGATCTCAGCCTCTCTAAATCGCCATAATTATCTCCGATCACTCCACAACGCTCAACCATTAACGCTAAATACGACGGTATTCACAAACTTATTCGAATTCCAAATTCCCTAATCTTCTACTAACTAACTTTCTCTCACAAATTTACCATAGGGCGGATATGTATTTATCTCTTTTCAACTTTTCATGCTATGATGACCAAACATTTTCCATGCTCTGCCAAACTTTTATAGAACACAAAAGTTTCAAAATATTTTTTTTACAAATTACTAGCTTTTCAGATATATAAACTTTGGCTATTATTTCAAAAATACGGAAACATTTTACATATTCTTTAATCTTTATTTTTCTAAAATACGTATATTGTGCAAATATCTGAACGAAAATATTTGACATGGAATTTTTGTGCTTAAAGAAATTCAACCACAAAAAATCTAGACGATTAAAAGCACACATTTGTCAAAAATTCAAATTTTTATGGTTTTTTTATTCGAACATATTTCACTTCGTCAATATTTTAGAGTTTTTTTCATAAATGTTCAATACTTAAGTATTTCAGTTATTTTTCGTAAATATATATCCGCTCCGTGATTGATTATACGTATATTCTATAAATGTTTCAACGATGCGAACTAAATTTTGTTCTAAGGAAATTCAACCACAAAAAATTCAGAGCATTAAATTCAAAAGTACAGATTTTGCAAAAATTCTTATTTTTATATCATTTTTTCATACTTATTTCATACTTATTTTGTACATTTTTCGCACAAATATTAAATCCACATTTTAAAAATTTTTTTCGTAATTACATATCCGTCCTCTGTTTCTGTACAGCTCTGCGAAATCAGTCAAGCCTGGGCGAACCATTTATTGGCTCGTTCCTTGGAAAATATTCGAAGCAATGGGAACGTCGCGAAGGACAATTTTTTCTTTGACCACAACCACGCCACGAATCAGAAGTACTTCATCGGGGAAAATCTCTACTTTTCCACGCACTCGAGAGGCGTTCAAGTCAACGGGACGATTGCAGTGACGCTGTGGTACAATGAGATTAAGGACTACGACTTCCAATTCGCCCGGGTCAAGGTCACCTCACGAGCAGAAAGTTTAATAGGTGAGTAAATATTACGTTTTTGAATTATTCTTTTAGGGGGAGGGGGATAAGCATACCTGTTCACTTTTATTCATTCATTCTACTGATTACGATAGAGATTGATAGTGAATAAAAATGAGTGAAGGATTCCATCATTTCAGATGAATGACTGTGAGTGAAAGGATTTTTCATTCCGTTCATTTTTCACCTTGTGCCCAGTAAGAAATGAAGTCGGATGAAGTGAAATCAAATAAATTTGAAGGAAAATGACTGAATGTGAAGACAAATCTTCAGCCAGAAATCAGAATGAATGACTTATGAATGAAAACTGAATTTTTGAACAGGTATGTATAAAAATTGACAAGATAATTTATTACCAAAATCGTCAAAATTAACGTTTTGAATGATTTTTTTAAGGGACGGCTGGAAGAAGTTTAAAATGGTAATTTAGAATTTCTGTGGAAAAATATGTAAACAAAAATTGATACTTTAAAAAAATGTATGCATATGTACCTGTTCAAAAATTAAGTTTTAATTCAAAAGTCAGTCATCCCAATTTCTGACTGAAGATTTTCCTTCACATTCGGTCATTTTCGCTCAACTTCATTTCACTTCATCGGACTTCATTTCCTACTTCACCCCATGTATTAGTATTAAGCTTAGGGTGAAAAATGAAGATAGTGAAAAATCCACATTCACATGATTCACATAGTCATTCATCTGAAATGACGGAATCCTTCAGTCAGTTCAGTCATTTTCATTCACATGACAAGAAATTCATTTTCATTCACTATAATTCATTATCATAATCAGTCAAATGAATAAATGTGAACAGGTATGAATGTATGTAGTGTCTTTCTTCACCACATATTTACAATATATTTACATAACTTCATAAATACCAGTTTTTCAAAGTTATTTTCCAATGTCTATAATTCTGTTTTTTTTAAAGATGCATCATTATTTGTACAATTTTTTAAAAAACGTAGTGTATTCAATATCTTATCTTTTTTATAGTTAAACTATAAAAAAATTTCGAAATCATAAAGTATTTCTGAACTTGTGAAAAATAAAAGTAATTATTTAACATCGTTTTGTATTTTTACGAATATTTCTTATTAAGTCAAAGGCTTTGACTACTTTTCTTAATAAGAAATATTCATTCCAAGACCTTTGACTCAAAGGTCTTGGAACATTCGAAATAAATTAGCTAACCAATTAGTTAAAAAAATTGCTTCGAGTGTGCTCTATTCCATAATTTTTGTAAATCAGTAAAATTTTAAAGCTTCAAAAATTCTCTAAATAAAGAAGCATTTATTAATTTGTAAGGATTGAATGTAAAAAACTTCTAAATGTCAATATTTCTCTCTGTATTTGAAAAGGTGGAAATATTTTTCCTTTTTTAACAAAAACCTTGTTTCGTCAATATTTTCCCGACTTAAAAATATAAAAAACGTCCAGAGTAAAAAAAACTTTACTTGAGAAAATGTAATCTTTCGACGTCACTTTGTGTTTTTAACCCTTTTAAGCTGTAACGACGACAATAGTCGTTTTATAAGAAATGGTTTAATTCGGGAGTACGACACAAGTCGTCCTGAAAAATCGGGGTCATGGCGCGGAAGGACGACAATTGTCGTTTCTAGGAGGTCATTGATTTTCACCATTTTCTCTCCGCGACCTAAAGTTTGTTGCAATTTTGAGGGATTTCTCCTATGCCAACACAATGCTAAATTTGAAGATTTTCTTCCCAAAAATTTGGATATTTCCCTATACAACTCAATGTTAAATTTTTGATTTTTCAGTTTTCCGAGTTTTATTAAAAACTCCTGAATTTCTCCTCCCGCGCCATGACCACAACATTCTTATAGTGTCCCCGATTTAATGCATTTTCTTGTCGTTAATCATACATGCTAAAGGGTTAAGAATATTCATCACGGCAAAAAGTAGTAAAAGGTTTGTTCAAGGAAGCTTGTAATTGTAATATTCTTGAAATAAAAAGCTATTCGTTAATTTGGTAAAAATTACTAAATGTCAATATTTCTACTCTTATTTGAAAAAAATATAGGTTTACAATTTTTTTTCCAGTTTTTATCAAAAACATTGTTTTGATCAATATTTTGACTATCTTAAAAGAAACGAAAGATTGGATATAAAAAAATTAGAAATCTACGAGTATTTATGAACTTGAGACTTGAGATAATGTAATTTTTCGACGTCAGAATGTTTATCATGGCAAAAAGTTGTAAGAGGTTTGTTTATCCAATTTCACGAAAGCAAGAGCCAATTGTTAATTGGTGAAAATTGAATGTAATAATTCATAAATGTCAATATTTCTGTCATTATTTAAAAAACACGGAAATATGTTTACAATTTTTTCTAAAATCCCTGTTTTCCCAATATTTTGACCATTTTAAAGGAGAAAAAAAATCGAAATCAAGGAGTATTTTGAACTTAAAAAATGTAAAATCTTCAACGTCATTGTGTATTTTTAGGAAATATTTGGTAGAATGTGCATAGTGAGTAAATAATAGGAAAAAATGGGAGGAGGAACTCACTTTCGTAGAGTTGGTGTCCAAATTGTAGGCCGGGTGTGGTTGGGGGAGGTTAAATTGCCAACGTTTCGAACTCTTGTTCTTTTTCAAGGCGGCGGAGGGGAAGAATTTTGAGAAGTTGTGACTTCACGTGCCGAATTGTGAGTGAGGAAGGAAGGGTAAAAAAGGGTAAAGGAAGACCGTTAACGCGTGCGTAACGGTCCAGGCTCAGGTACCTCGGGGTCGCCCAAACACCCGTCGGCAATGCAAACCGCCCTGAGGGTATGTAGAACTTGCCAAAAAACTATTTTAGAAGGAAACTGAAGTTAACGTTCAAGCCAGGGGGCTTGTTGGACTGGAAAAGAAAGATGATTTTATTTTCAAGTGTTAAACGCTTTCTTTCATCAGAAGGAGCGTTGCAGAGGGCAGTGATGATGATATCATCAATATCGTGATTGCGGATGAAGTGGTTGCAGACCGTAGTACCAAGATTATTGCTAATAGATTTTAAATGTTCACGGAAACGATCAGCTAATTTACGAGAGGTTTGCCCTATGTATACCACGTCCGGGCATCTTTTACATGAGATTGCATAAATTAGGGACGAACTAATACAGGAAAAAGAAGATTTGATTTTGAAGGTGAAATTGTTGATTTTGAGATGAGGTTGTTGCAAAACTGATTTACAAGTTTTGCAGCGTGGTCTATTACAAGGAAAGGTACCGAAAGTTGTTGAATCTTGTAGAATAGAGTCACCAATCGGTTTCAATTTGGAACGGACTAAAAGCTGTTGCAAATTTGGGGCTCGTCTGTATGCGACGATTGGTTTAGATGAAAAGTTGGGATTATGTGAGAGAATTGAATTGAAGAGGGATTTGGTTTTTTGTACCACTGTTGTCACGTTAGGGGAGTAGCCGACGACTAATGGGACAATGTCCTTCGTGGACTTATCATGAGGGACAAGGAGCGAGCTACGAGAAACAGCCTTGACTGCCTCAAGCGTTCTCCTGATAAGGTGACTTGGGTAACCACGGTGGGAGAAAAATTGTGACATGGTAAAGCTTTGGGTTAGGAAATCATCGTCATCACTACAGATGCGTCTGAGTCGTAGGAATTGAGAGTAAGGGATGCTATCCAAAACGTGTTTTGGGTGACACGAATCGTATGGAAGATAGGAATGTGAGTCCGTAGGTTTGTAATAGATTGAGGTGAGGATTTTATGATCACGAATAGAGATCTTCAAATCGAGGAAGCAAATTGAAGAGCTAGAAATTGTGGTTTCGAATTTCAACGATGGGTGCATTGTGGACATCGCGTCTAAAAAGATGGTGACATCGGTATCCGGGGATTGAAAAATCATAAAAATTTCGTCGATAAAACGCTTATAGAGAACGGGCATGGGACCAGAGTAACGTGCAAAGAATAAAAATTCCTGGTGTGCTAAAAAACAAGCGTAGCTGGGGCCTACTTTCGTGCCCATTGCGACACCAGAGATTTGGGAAAAAAATTCAGAATTAAATTCGAACGCGTTTAATGTCAAAACCAATTCTAAAAGCCGGATTAGAACATGAGTCGGGGGATCAAGAACGGATCTAGATTCAAAAAGGACTTTCGCTGCGGTCAGACCACCTGCGTGAGGAATGACCGTATATAGCTGGGCAACATCACAGGTAACTAAGAAAGTAGGACAAGAAGCAGGGTCGACGGGGAATATAAAATTCTCTAAAAGTTGTAACATATGGGTCGTGTCTTTCAAATACGTGGGAGTATTTGCGACCAGGGGTTGTAAGACCGAATCGACAAAGGCGGAAATGAGGGAGGTGGGGCAACAAACAGTTGACACTATAGGTCGACCAGGGTTGCCATACTTGTGAATTTTAGGGTTAAGATAGAAAACTGAGCAACGTGGGTTCTTTTCAATCAAACGCTGGGCAAAAACAGGTAAATCCCCACTGGAGATAAAATTCCCAATCGTTTTAGAAACTTGTTTCTGATAAGATGAAGTCGGATCAGAATCTAATTTGCAATAAAAATTCGTATTATTAAGTTGGGAATTAGCCTCAGATATATATAGGTCACGGGACCAAACTACTACTGACCCACCTTTGTCAGCCTTGCGGATGACAATGTCAGTACGGTTGGACAAAGATTTAATGGTAGACAGTTCTTGAGAAGACAGATTAGATTTATGCGATTGGAAACTATATCCGCTGGATGGGAGGGCTTTGCGGGAGGAATTTATGAAGTATTCCAGATCAGGGAATTGGTTTGGAGGGGGTGTCCACGAGCTTTTTTTAGGAATAACCTTGTCTATTATGGATTCGGAAAACTGTGTAATGGAGGGAGGGGATGAGGAACCAGAATGAGGACCAAAATGGCCCAATAAACGTAGTCGTCGGTAAAAATGTTCATGGTCTTGGTGCAATTCGAAAAGGTTAGATTTATCAGGGGTCGGAGAAAAGGTTAGACCACGGCATAAAAGTGACGTTT